AAAAAATCCAAAATGGCCGCCAATTTGTGAAATTTTGTAGAAATATATACATATCTATGTTGATTTTTATCAAATTAAGTATTTTCTCAATGTTTTCCACATCGTTATTACCCATATTATGCATATGTGTCAGATACCAAATTAGTGTCCTTGGACTTATTGAAAAATCCAAGATGGCCGCCGTATGGCATAGGAATACTAGAACATGTACAAGGGTGTTCAACTAACTAATGCCAACTAGGAAGATGCATTGCCCACTTTCTAATTAATTTTGTTTCTTATTACACAAATAATATATTTGTGGTGAGTAACTAACCTTTATTCACAGGCAATTCGAGAAAAATCCAAGATGGCCCCCATATCAAAGGAATACTAGTATACACATAGGGCTTCTTCTGCCATGGAGATATAATATTAATTGATAAATAGGTTTGTTTCTGAGTATTTTCCACATCTTTTTAATTCATATAATATATATGTGATGAGAATGTTATGTGTATCCTTTTTGAAAACAAAACAAAATGGCTGCCATTAGCCATAGAAGGTGGGGTTCAGTTAATACCTGCGAGAGATAGGCTTACAAATAAAATGAAGCTGAATTCAGTTGTTATTCTGTTTTTTAGTATTATTATCCCATGATACATATCTGTTAGGTAATTAATGTCCATATTTTATCATTTTGGGGAAATCCAAGATGGCCTTCTTTTCCCCATAGGAAAAGTGGTGTTAATAGGCACTTCTAAGGCAAATGAGGGTAATCATGATATTTTTTCAAAATACTTAAGGGTATACACTTGTTATCCACCAGATAGATATCTAAAAGTCCAAAAAGAATGTGGGAAATACAGAGAAACAAAATTCATTTTATATTGAACCCAATGTCTCTCTGGCAGTAGTTGACTGTACTATTCCTATTGTGAATTGCAGCAATCTTGAATTTTCTCAAATACGCAAGATGCACACTTGTTACACACCAGATTTATAAAGAGTAAGGTTAATAAGGTTAATAAGGTTGTCAACATGTTTAAACATCAAACGGCTTTATTTCATGTTGGAATCAATGTCTGAACTGTTTTATTAATTAACACCTATGTGCATTTGAATGATATATTCCTATGACAACTGGCAGCTATCTTGGGTTTTCTCCGAATAATACTCAAGTATACATACACCTTCAAAACACACAGAGTCTTTCATAAGGATAAATAGGATATGAAAAACATTAAAAACGACCCAACGTGAACTACGTTTAAATCGTACTCAGTGTATTTCTAGCATTATTTGATTATGTGTTCGAATATTCTAATGACAAAAGGCAGACATCTTGAATTTTTTCAGAATACCCAAAGATACACACATACTACAGACCAGGTAAACATCATAGGAGTAATAATAAATGGAATGAAAAACATAAATTATTTTTAAAACAAACCCATGGAAATGTAATTGTATAATGAACCATATGCCTCTCTAGCAGCAATTGAAACCCACCCATTAGTATTCCTATGTTAAATTGTAGGTATCTTTTTCTCAGAATATCCAAGGATGCACACTATTGACCCACCAGATATATATCATAAGACTAATAAGGATGGGCAAAACTTGATTAGCAAACACAAATTCACCCTGGTAGTAGATGAAAAGCCATGGATGTACAGTTGTAATTCCAGTAGTATTCCTATGGCCAGTGACGGCCATCTTGTGTGTTCTCAAAATGATCAAATATGCACATTTATTACCTGCTAGATATGTATCACAGTGTAATAATAATGTTTAAAGCACTGAAACTGAATTTGATAGTGAATTAGCTGGCATTAGTTCCAACCCTTTGTAATACTATAAGTATTCCTATTACATATGACGGCCATCTTGGGTTTTCTCAAAATGCCCAAGAATACTGTTAGTTACTCACCACATACATATTGTGCGGGTAGAAAGGATGTGGAAAAACACTAAGAAACCAGCTTAATTTGATAGTGAAAAATTAATCTTTCCAGTTGCCATTAGTTGAATCACCGTATACTAGAATTCCTGTGGCACATGGCAGCCATCTTGGATTTTCCAAAATGCCCAAGAACACTTCGTAGTTACTCACCACAAACATATTATGTGGGTAACAAAGATCTGAGAAGTAGACTTAATTTGATACATTGTTGTTTGATACGTATCGTTCTAGCTGGTAATAGTTGTGCACTAGTATTCCTATGGCTGTTTCTATGGCAAATGACAGCCATCTTGGATTTTTTCAAAAAGTCCAAGGGAACTTGTTTGCTATTTGACATATATGAATAAAATGGGTAATAAAGGTGTGGAAAACTTTGAGAAAGTAATTTATTTGATAAAAATCAACATAGGCATATACATATTTCTAAAGAATTCAATAAATTGGCGGCCATTTTGGATTTTTTTGCCAAACGGTAAATTTTTTCCGTGGGCTACGGCTCTAATTTGATTTAGAATGTCAAAAGGTACCCACATGCAAAATTTGGTGCTTTTATCCGCCGTGTCACGATTTTTTCCTTAAGCCACCGGACTATTGTCCTGTTACCTTGCAGTGGTCATAGAAGGTTGACCTGGAGTTTCAAGGCTGAGTTTAATATGCCCGTAATTCTGGAGCCCTATTTACACAACAGTATTAAAGAATCCAGATTAAAGAACTGTAAGACTTTATATTAAAACCAAATGCTTTGCAAGATTGTTATCATCATTCCTTCCATGATTATACTTGATTGCCAAGGTTGACATTTTTTCATCAACATTTAAAGAGCAAATATTCCGTCCAATAATTCTACTTTTATTCTGCTTTTTAAAAAGGTGGATATATTTGACTTTTGTTTTTTTTTTAAATGAATATTCCTTTTGATACAATGTGACTAAACTTAAATTTGATCAGTTATGAAATTAAAGGTAAACTGTTTTGTACAGATTTTATTTGTACAGATAATATTGTATATATTGATGTTTGAGGATTTATTTTTGTATATATATATTGCCATTTTAATATTGTTGGCTGTCAAAACTGAAGTGTGCCAGTGTGACCTTTCAAGGTTGTACATTAAATACTGCTTGAACCTGTTTAATATGTTGACGTCATAAAAGAAAAGAACTTTGGTCTTGACATTGTATTTTGTAAATAAAACTTAATCCACCACTTTGTGTTGTTGACATAGAAGTGTATATTTTTTGTTATTTTTTTGTTTACTTTGTATATGAATACACACAATAAATGCCAATTGGCTTAGTTTTTTCTGAAGTTTTCTGTGATCTTCAGGTTTATAAAATAAATAGATCTCTCTTCTTAATCTTGTTTTATTTGTGAAACTTGGAAAAAATGACATTTCTTTGATCACATATTAAAATTGTCCAAGAAACCATATGAGTTATTTAGTGCAATTAACTATGGTCATCTTTTGAAATTTCAGGATGACAAAGATTTTGCAGTTGGGATAATTTTATGTAATGCTGTGTGAAAAACAAATTTCAGTGTGGTAGAGATGCCATTTATATAATATTGTGTAGGCTTTTAGAGCTTACACAATATTACGATATAATATAGGTTTCTTGAAATCATAATTCATTTGTTGCGTTTTAGGTTGCTCTTGAATAAAAATCAGCCAGCACAGAAGAATAATATGACAAGAAATAATGTAAAAGTAAAAAATAAGTTTATTTGGGTTCACAGGAATCTGATGAATGTGGCAAGACTAATGTCTTTGCCTGGAAATCTCTACCAAATTTACTTGTACAGAACATGTTCGGATGTTTAAAAACACATTGACTTGTCAGAAAACAAGGTGAAATTTCAAAACAAAATATCAACACGATGTATAAAATTATTCAAAAGGACCTGCCAACACAAACAATATATCAGGTTGAGTACATATATACAATGTCATAAGTACTTAGTACTACCCCAACAACAAAATGTTTTGTGATTCAAAGCACCAAAACCAAGTTAACTAATAAAAATAAAGTGTTAATTCTTTGATACAGTTACTCCACTTAACTGATATATAAAGTAGAAATCTCAAGACAGTTTGCAGTGGTCATCATGTTTTAATTTTGTTTCACAAGTTCATCTCCCAACATAAAATAAAACAATGGGAAAATTTCTTTATCTTTTTCAGTTTGTTAGAAAACATTTATGTGATTATACATACAACTCAGTGTTTGCTTAGGCAAAGCAAAGTTTAAGAAAAAACTTCTTAACTAAATGTGCATAACCAATAAAGAGCTTTGAATTCACAGTTTACAATCAATATTTAAAATGTCCTCTGAATGAAATCTGTAGATAATATTAAAATTCCAAAATAATTTCCACTGCTTCGCTGATCACAAGATATGTCCAACTTTTTTATTGGATTGAATGACTTGTAAACAAAATGATAACAGTATATTAATTGAAATATCTTAGCAAACCAATCCTGACATCAGAACATGTGAAGGGCAAATTCTAGTAAAACAAATAACTGGTGGTAAATACATCAATAAAATTAGGTCAATTCAACTAAAACTGTCATTTGGCAAGTTTTTTAATGAAAAAATCTGGTAAGAAATCAAAATTAAAAAAAAAAAATTTACATGATCCCTGCAAACAAGTGACATGATCCATCAGACACCACAGCGCAGACAGATAAATTCTGAACTGTGAATACTGCGAATCTTCTAACTGATAACAGACTACCACACTTACTGAGCAAATGTAGAACTGAGATTCAGAGATTTTTTTTAATTTATTACCCAAATAATTTCACATGAACAACAAATTATTCATTCAGTATCTACCTCTACCATGTACAACACCAAAGTTCATCACTGTACTGGTATCTGATTTATGGTCTGCCCCCAAATATTGTAAATACAGTAACTACTTGGAAATATTCAAACAGATTTGACATGTTGGTAATTTAAAATTTCTCAAAAGCCAGCTTGGTTCAAATAAAAAAAATTTAGAGAAAATTCATATAATGAATAATGAAACAATATTGAATTTGTAAATCATTTGATATTGCAAGTAGCTACTGAATCATTATCATTTTCTACATTATGCACATCTGCATATATAATAATAAAAAGAAAGCTCCAAATCTTATTTAGTAACCATGCCTTCAACTCTATATATATTTATAGTTCTTATGAGTATCATCTTTTATTGCACACATTGGCAAAGTTTTCTATGCAGATAAAACAATCTACACATTCATTTAGCTGCCTTTTAAAAATGAGAATTGACTGACATTTAAACTTTCCTTTTTTAATTTTAAAAGCAAAACTCCTCATGAAAAGTCATGACTTAGGGTTTACCAACTAAAAATCATAAATGCGACCAGATTTATATACTGATATATATCAAAGAAGTTTGTATATGTCATTTCATACAATGCCATTTTGCAAAAGTTTTTTTCCCAAACACTTAAAACAATACAAATTATTATTTTTTTAATCCAAATTCTTGACAAACATAAAATCTCTAGCGTAAAATAATATTGGTATAACCAATAAAAACCTTACATACTCCTTATATAAATTGATTCAGTATAATAATTTAGATTTTTCAAATTTCTCTGTACTTAACTGGCATATTTAGGAAGCAGACTTCAAGTAAACCAAGATACCATACTAACTACAAACTGCTTCTACAGTACAGCTCACAGATAATGAGCACTCTAGTACTACCATTTTTTTCACATCTATCCACTTATTTAACAACCTCTGCAAACTGTTCAAAGAATACATAATTATACTTTGAACAAGGAGTGTTTCTAACACCTGAAATTGTAACTACAGTCATATACTACTAATATCTGTACAAGTCTTTAATGCATCTTGGCTTAAAGCATTTTTGTATAATAATAATTTGTTAGTCTTCTTATACTATGTATAATATGTATCTCATTACCTGGGTAATGTGGAAGCCCAAAGCGACCAGCACCATTGTGAATCAATAATAATAAATAAGCAAAAAAATGCATTATACATACATCATATGGGTATGATGAATATACAAAAATTACTAAATCATCTTACTGCCTTTATACCTTTTATATAAAGTTATACCTAAGCAGAGATATTTTACCCTTTAGATAATGGGATTGCCTCCAAAAATGAAACTATTCAGCATAATGATCCCACCCAGATATGCTTTTCTTCCATTTTAGATTTTTCATAATTGTGATACATAAAATGGCACATGGAGTTTAATCCACTGGCATAGTTACTGCTTTCACTTGTCCCTGATCATCTTACACGATGCAAAAGAGTTCAATAATAAAGCGCCTGTTGACCAAAAGTGAACTCAAGAAATTTGTTGCAATAATATCATTTTACCTATACACATTGATGACCATTATGTCACAGGGTGTCAGTGATTTGCATAGATCTATTCACAATTGCACCCAGAGATGAAAAATAGAACATACCTGTAGGCACTTGCTTGGTGTTAGTTCAAGACACAATATAGAAATGGCTACCACACAGGGTCACTTGACAGAAATGGCTGAAGGACAATTAGAAATTCTTCATAAGGTCTAATTCTATGTCTATCTATGTATTGTTTTACATGGACTTGAATTTTGCCAGCCACTTCCAATTCACTGATCCAAGATAATTTCCAAGACTTAAAATGAGTTTTCAACATTAATTTTGAGGCAAAAAAAAATAAATAAAATATAAATTTTCTGCATTGACCTTGACCTTTCTGCCACATGACCTTTTTTCTGTGAGGGCTACCACTGGTGACTCCCCTCTGGAGCCACTTCTAGTTCTTCTGAAGATGGATATTCCACAGTGTATCTAAGCACCAGTTCCTTTGTCTCGCTAGGAGGAATTTCTAACTCCCACTCTATGTTATTTGCCCTGTTCACCCTCACAGGTCTGTTCTTCTCCTGCTTCTCTGGATGTTTTATACTGGGTTCAACAAGTGTCACCTACATTTTTGGGTAAAAAATAATTATGTGATTTGCTCAGTTTGCCACTGCTTTGAATCAAAAACACAAGTGACTACTTGATAACCCAATATTTGCAATGATCTTACTTGATTTACAGTAATCAATTTCAAGGTGTACTTCTTAAGTATTTACGAGACTTATTTATTTATTTATATATAAATATTAAATTTTTTATTTCTTTCTTTATTCATTTTGCAAAGTTACATTACCTTTATTTTTTCTTCTAAACTAAGAGGCAGTTGCTCTGTGACCAAGAGTTTTACTGAAGTTTGTCGTGTATTTTTAATCGACGTCACCTAAAAATGAGTGGGTCAGTGATAACGTAGAACTAGACACAGCTCACAACATCTACAGATCAAGCTGAATGAGATATAATACCAATTAAAATCTATAGTACAGAGTAATGAAGTTAAAATAAACTATAAAATATCACTATCATGACCAAATTTCCTGTGGGATGATATGTGTACAAACCTGCTTGTGTTGCATCTGTATACTTTTTGAAAACACTCCAGCCTCGTTCCGGTGTTTTACCAAAGGTTTATAGTCTACTTTTACATAGGGATCAACTCCTAATGAACAATAAAATTCTTCTGAAGGACTAACCGACTTTAAATCACTCTGAAATGAGGATATTATCATTATTTATTTTAATTATACTGCTGGTCACATGATGTCTTCTTTCACCTGTTTTAAAGAAAATATGACAACAAAATTAACACATAAAAGCAAATTAAACATTCATCTTAGAAATACACATCGATATAAATAGTACTGAGTAAATAAAACGTATCGATAGACCCCCAAATTGGATCTCTTCCAAATGCCAAATGTGGCTGGCCATCATAGTATGGTAATACGCAAAAGAAGGGGCGTTATATATATGATAAGTAACAGTAATAGCATATAGGTGGCAGTAGTGACAAGACACACACTAGTAATACCCCAAATCTGTAATAATTCTACAAGTAATCAGATGTTACCTTGGCAACAAAATTATTGTCCAGGAAGATGTTCATTGGTCCAGGAAGAAGTGCATAGGCGGAGTCATTTTTCACTTTGGCCTTCAGGAATGCATGGGCCGATTTTTTTGGCACACACTCGTAAGAAAAACTGGGTTTTAAATCCAAAATGGCCACTGTTACTTTGTGAGCATTATTATCACAAGGAATGGTTGAGAAGCGAGGGATGTCATAGCTAGCACTAACCATGCTTTCCCGCACCTGAAAAAGTGACGTATCAAAAGTCAAATGAGAATCATTTCATTTTTTAATATGTAAAATATTTGGTCTAATAGAATGATATATTACCACTTTCTTACCTCTTTATTTATTCATTTGTGAAATAAAAAGTATCACTATCATGAAAATATTTCAAGCTCACTGGCAATTTTTAATAATTAATGCCCGATTAGTGAAAAGGGATGTTGTTACTGAACTGGGGCAAATCAAACACCAAGCTACAGCTTCAGAATATGCTACACACTAGATACTGTTAGTTGATTATGGTTTATCCCTTTCTCTCTCACACATCAGCATATGCTCTTACAAACATACATGCTTTTTTCTTTTCGCATAGTTATATATATATGTTCTAAAGATACATATAAACTTGGGGATTTCAGAGTAAAAGGAAAAAACAACAACTAGCTGAAAATCTTAGTTGCCACATTTAGGCAGTTTGTAGCTAAAGCTGTAAAGATGCAACCTAGATTTAGATACATGGAAAAGAAAACCATTTTGAAATCAACTCTCTGAGCATATTTTTATGTATGTTTTTTACCACATTAATTCATCTCAATGCAAAACAAAATGCATAAAGGCCTTTAGTAAAAGACAAAAAAAAGCCCCGTTGCATGATAAAAGTTTTCAGTCTTGGTTCTGATTTATGACCTGCGCCCCTGCTTTCTTGCAAACCTACTGTACCTCTGTACTGGCTACTGTCATTTCTACTGACTCTTCATGATTCTCTAAATCAAAATTGGCTGCCATTCCATCCATCATTTCCTCAGACCCTAAGTTCTGTCCTGGTGGAGCCAAGGTTCTGGGGGAATTTTTCTCTTGAGAACGGAATGAACCACTTGTGCGTTTGGCTTTCCGTGGTGATCTATACAGGCTGCAGTAAATAAGGTAGTGAAAGGAAGATGAGGACAGATTGTGGTGACAACAACCCTACATGTCCTACTTAGAAGAAAACTAAACAGAACAGTGGCAGCAATGGGAATGACCTATATAGAAAACAAACTAAAGGTACATTGTTTGCGGTGGCAGCGGTGGGATCAGGCAGGAAACACATGCTTCAGCTGCAAAGATTACAAAGAAACTCGACTGTGCCTGAAAATGATGGCAAGCTCAAACAAGGCGAACATGCAGTGGAAGTGGAGTTTTTTCCCCCCAATGAATACCTTGGATTTTCTATGGCTGACATCTGGTTGAGGCTCAGACCTTCTTTGAAGTGAAGGACTTCCTATATCTGACAATTCTTCAAGGTCTAGGTCTAAGTCAATACAGTTTTCTACAGGTGGATCTCTCCATGATATTTTTTTCTGTTTATAAGATTTTATGTGCCTAAAAAGAATTCTTAGCATATATTTTTGATTTCTTAATTATGCAAGCCTGGAAGAATCCAATATTAGGCCTCTAGTTGTACTGAGAATATCTTCATATCCATGAATGCCCTAAAAGAAAAAGCAAGAAATGTAAAACGTCACTCTGCTGACAAATACGTCCTTTCATTCTTAACTATGAACCAAATAAACTCGCTCTCTCTTTCTCTCTCAGTCTCTCTCATTTTCCTAAAATGGCATGCAACTTAACGTGTCTGAAAAGGGACAAACAAGCAGAAATAAGCACAAATACATGCATATATGCACAATCAAACATGTAGAGTTATACCCATATACATATTAGTTCATCAATTAGTGCAATACTTAAAGCATGTTCTGAACCACACTATTTCCCACTTTGTCAAAAAAAAAAAATAATAATAATAATAATCAGAAAATTTTTTAAAAAATTAATAGAACAGCAGCTTCAAATAAAATTTGAGGTACCCTTACACAAAATTTGACCGGGTAGCTGTTCATGCAGTCTGTGCCAAAAACTTTTCAGGCTACTAGCCCTTAAGGCAATCAGGTATCTACAAGTGGGCTAGTGTTTAAAAAAAATCAACTTATTACTAGCCCATTGCCTCTTTATTTTTTATGTTGGCAATTTCCTTGGGCTAGTACCTTATAACACAGACTGTTCATGATTCTAAAATCACTTGGCAATACTTTTTACAATGATATTCCCACATGCTTCCCAACGGTACATTTTACCTCACACCACAGAAAGCTTGGATTATTTCTTAATCAGAATCCAACTTGCCTGAGAAACCATACAGTTTCTGCTGAAGTTCACAACAAAATATAAATCATTTGAGGTTAGTTATAATGTGCCCCCATCTACTAGGTTAGTGCTAATTGTAAAGAAAATTCAAAGAAAAAAAATCCCTAAAACCAATTTAAGGATGAGATCTGGTTAATGGCTTATCGTTCCACCTTTTCCGCCTAGGTGCTGTGGGCATGCTGCCAGGACAACTTCATTAGTTAGCTACAGCTGAAGAAAACCACATGGAAGTCTCAGAACCTTGAGGGATACAATCACCATTTCTTTTTAATTTTAAAGGAAGGTTCATTTGTGTATGAGCCAAAAGCTCAGAAGGGGAGAGGAAGGGGTAACTTGTCATATATTTCACACCTCTGTAACAAGCTGAACAGCCTCAATCCTCTCAGACTGGTTGTAACAAGCACCAAACATCATAGGAACTGGCTCTACTTCTTCTTCATCCATACACACTGGCGGTTCATGATGAATGCTTTTTCTCAGACCTAAGAACTTTCTTAAAGGTCCCATGGGCTCCATACCACCATAGTGCCTTTACAAAAACAAGTGCACATTTGGTGTTTATATCTAAAAACATATGTCTGGTATTTTTAAAAAAGCTAAATGAAATGTCTGTATTTAGGGTTCTAGGCTGTGGTTGCAAATCCCATTAGTATATAGAAAACTTGCTCCCAAGTGATTTTTCAAGCAAAAGAAAAATTATTTAGGCCAAAAATTCCTAAAACAACTTTCTTTGGCAAAATAAAATTGGTTAAAAAATATTTCAAACTGTTTGCAAATTCATTAATGAAATGATGCAAACTTATTTTTAAGAAAAAAAAATGTTATGTTTACTGTAGCATCTTGGCATGACAGCTTGGCAAATATGAAAAAAGTCTACAGTAATGTCCAATATGTACATGACAGTTCAAAAGGCTTATTTGGAGATATGCCAATTAACAATGTAAAATTATTACTAAAAATACTACTTTGTCTCTCTCTTTTGCTCATCTATCATCTAAAATGACAGAACTCCATCCTTGAGAAAGACTTGAATAGTAATTCTCAATGCCATGTGGACATGACAGTTCACATCGCTAATTGGCCTTTCTGCGTCATGTTACTACCAACAAAAATGCTGCAATAAAATATCTTTCCAAACAAAATACCTTTATATCAAAAATAGCATAGCGTTTTGACTTAAAGTCTGGCTATATAACTAGAATTATCAAATCAAAATCTTAACATTTAATTTAATAGATTAACTGATTCTATGTAGTAATTAGTATGATTTAAAGTGTAAAATATAAATATCAAAAAGAAATGTTATATCTGCTGATACCCATAAATGACATTTTTCAAAAGCAGAAGTAGAATTTAAAACCAATTTAATATGTTTCTACACCTATATAAATATAACTAAAATATTATTTATACCCTTTTGGCTTAAAAGTAAGTCGTAATGTCCCTAAGTCTGGAACACTGCCCCCAACACTAGGTGTCGCTGTAGACAAGGAGAGCTTGGCATCCACCCAGTCTTCCCCTGTGGCTTGCTGGATAAGACCAAAATAGTGGATCTGAAAATAAAAACAAGGAATATACCCAAAATTTATGTGAGGTACTAGATACATAACAATATAAAAACAACAAGAAAAAACAAACTGACATTTTAAGATGCCTGGAATGATGAAATTAATAATTTTCACCCATCAATCCCTGTAGAGCACAAATATCTGCATTTCCCCAAAAGTCTAAAAAAATGATATAAACTTTCTTTTTTTTTGGGGGGGGGAATAAACTTTTTTATAGTAGAGTATACTGGAGAACTTTGATTTGTAACTGATATTTTTAGTAAGGGTGGATTTAATATCAAGCCTGTTTTGTGTTTTTTAGCATGTTAATCATCATAGCATTACCACAAGGGTTGATGATATCTTAAGAGTGACCAGAATTAGACAGCACCTGACTTCTGTTGAGTTTCTCACCTTCATCAGTCCATCATCACTGAACACTCTCAGGTCATACTTAGGTGACCAGCTTGCTCTGTAGACTATATAAGACACCAATAACTTCACCGGCTTGGCTTCCTTTACCTCCACAAGAATGGAGGCCTCCCTAGAAAATAAAATCAAACATTTTTTCAGTGCTGGTTTTGTGCCTAAATGGACAAGATCAAATAATAAAATTATTTTACACTCTCAAAGTGGAAGAAGAAAAACAATGTTATGCAAGGATTATTTTAACAATGTTAACAATAGTCCATTTTGCTTGAATAATTTGAATGGCCAGCTTACATTGGCATCATGGCAACTTTATATATTAATGACAGATATATATATTTATATATACATAAATCACAAATTTCCTGAAAAATCAGTCTTAATTCTTTAATTGAGTGAATCAAGAAAAGTCAATGCCATGAAGAATTAAAGTACCCATTTTGTTATTTAAAAAAAAAAAAGAAATTCAGCCGTCCTTTATCATCGTCAAAAAACAGAACACAGACAAATGTCAATTTCTATCCATTCCATTCTATACCAACAGCATTTTTATCTCTCCACAATTTGCTAATCTCATAGACATCTACAATATAATGACTCTTTGGTAAATTTACGGAATTTTATATATTGACTTCTCTGCTCTCTGCTTTCTATTTCTACATTTGTGAGCAGTCTGTATAGGCATGCTTGTGCCAATACGTGTTAACGTCATATTTATATGCATCAGTGACTGCCATTCATGAATATTTCAACACATGATCACACTGCCATTGGTTTCCTTGAAGGCGCAATACGCCTATATCAGACATTATCAGTGGTTGGTTCAATGAACCATGCATTTTCCTGTCTGCTTATGGAGCTTTCCACTGAACAAGTGTCACTATAAAGAGTGACAAACCACATGATGGAATCAAAAATGACTACAACTTGGTTGCATGATGGGATGTTTCCCACAAGTAGCATTTTAAAGACCTATGTGTGGTCAGATTGTGTCACTTTGTATCTTTTTATAAAAAGCTTAAGACAGGGGACATAAGCTGAAGAAAATGAAAGAAAACGTATTGTGTGTATTTCTCTAGACTATCATTTGCAAGAGCCCACAGTCTAAAACAAAGATCCTCCTATAGTAGTAATTATAACATGGTGTTTATATCACCTTTCTATTAGTATTTAGCAACAAAAAAGAACATGATGAAACAAATTTGTACCTCTTGATCAAAGTTGAAAAAAATCAATTTTCCTCTAATATAAAATGTTTCAGTATGCAGTAAGATCAACCCTCTTCAATGGTATCACATCAAACATATGACAGCATACTATTCAGAATTGAGATGAATAATTTATGTCTTCATCCTTATCTGATAAATTATATGAATCTACTCAGAATGGCTGCTCCTCTTTAAATGAGCTCAAAAGCCCATGCAATCACATTCTTTTTTATGGCACTTGAAAAACCGATCCAAGTAAAAATGACAATTTTCCCAATATTAGCTCCCCAGGCTGAGGAGAATTAACAGTATATTAAAATTTTCCACAGACACTCCTCATTTTTTGGAAAGGCAAAGGGTTATTGGTTGTGCAGATAAATTCTAAATGAAGTCTGAATTACAGGGTGAACCTATTTGGACATTGCAAACAAATACTATTAATCCCTTAAGAAATGCAGCAAGTCTCAAATGCTTTTCGCAAGATAATAAACAACACACAGGCCCATAGGAAAGGGGGGATTTGAAAGTTTCACCCTTATGGCCAGAAAAGATATACCTTGCATCAAAATTTGATGGAGGTTTTAATTAATTAATTTCTTTCGCTGGTCAACTAAGGTTGTTAAATGGTCCACTTTCTCAGAAAAAGAACCCACATTTGAAAAGGCTAGATACAGGCCTGATGCATAATGATAGATGAACTGCAATTGCCCCAACAGATATACAGTATTAAAGGCATTTGTATACCCAATAGTATTAATATCCCTGAAGATGTCATAAGTCAGTGTTCCATACTAAGTGTTGATTTCCTTGTTTTATATGAAAGGCTTTTAACACATCAAGTTAGCATCACAAAATAAGATATGGAGGTCAAGTATATTCAGGGTACAGAAAAGAATGCCATATCGCTCCAGATTATTTGAATTTTTGACTGATGTATTTGGGTGTAATATCCTTTTACAATAATTCCACCTGTGTGTATCATTTCATCAATCCACTGCAAACTTTCAAGTTATACATTTTCATCTGCTACATCAGCCATAAGTTATCACAAAAGTTTATATACCTTTCAACTAAACATATCTGCATGAAATACAGGAATAACCAACCCACTGAGTGTTTCCTTAATACTTTTATCATCTGCTGATATCTCAGTTATTACTGCAGTTTAGCTTGTTGAAGTAAATGTTACCACAATAAATAAAATAGGAAACACCCTACTCTAAAAAAAGTATCTCCAGATGCTGTTTACTCTCTATACAGATACCAATACAAATTATAATCAAGTAGATATATCGAATAACAAAAAAAAATTAGGAACAAAACAAGAAATGATTTTAGAGCTGTACACCTTCATCTGAATCTTATCACATCATCCAGTCAGGCACACTGTCTCATCAAGATGAAAACTCTCCTCAAGTTTCCTTACAACTTACAAATGGGTATGTGTATTTCCACAGCCATATTGAAGCAAGTAGTTACTAGTAGCAGTTGCTAATTTGCAAAGGGCTGCAGACTCTCAAGTAGAGGCCATGATGAGGCAAGGCAGTCAGTTTGGACATCAAGATTAGTGAAAAAATGTACAATTTTTTTGCAAAATGTGGCTTTGTAAATCCAATCTCTAGTCAACTGCGCAAAACAATGTTAAATGCCACATTGCTTCTATTTTGTTTTGTTAAGGTTCCATGATTCACAGGTTGGTCTGAGTTAAATAAATACAAAATATTTATACTTCGTATTGTTTTTGTATTCCTTTTATTTTATTTTTTACAATTCTTTTATTTTATTTATTATACCAAATATATGGTAATATACCACACAAGCAATATCAGCAGTACCATAAAGATTTTACAACATGTGGTCGATTGATAATTACATAGAGCTATAACTGGAGGGAAAGGACAGGTGGAACAAGCTAATGAACTTTCAAACAAAATTTCCAGCAATAACAATATCAGCTACTTCACTCTATTTATGTATTTTAAGAAAACAGAGGCCATGTTCAAAATCAACACTCTCTGCTGGGAAGGCTATTCAAAGGCACTTGACCCCTGTTTGCCCAGTATAACTTGTACACACTTCTTACAGCAGATAAACCATGAAATAAATACAAAACAAACACTGTTCATGACCGTTAAGTGCCCATATTGGCTACTTTGGTTCACAATGGCCAATTTTATTGGAAAGAAACAGCAGATTGACAGCAGGGTATACAATCTTTCATAATCTTATCAGACACGGTTGAAATAGTTCACAGCCTTGGAATTCACCTTCAGGTAAAACATTTCAAAAACAAACACCATAATATCTTTTCTTGCAGAAATAGATCTATATTAAGGCTTCACACCAATGGACCAAAGTTTTCTCTCCCCCTCTACCCCAGCCCCTGCTTTCTGAAGACATTACATTTAGATCGATAACTTATAATTTGCTTCAGTGTTAACCTTGTTTCCATGTGAACTTGATGTGCACTATACATCTTTTTCTCTTCAAGCTATGGAGCACATCCAAAACTAATGATAAAACTAGGCAACTACTCAACTTCATCTACAAAGCGATAATTAAATTTCTAGAATTTGTATCCTCTGGGATCAGATACAGATAGAGGGTCTGAATAAAAGTGATCAAAATATTGTCTCCTGAGAGAAAATACAACGTACCTTAAATACATATGATAGTAAGAACAAAGCCCACAAGCCCCCAATTATTCTTTTTAAAAGAAAAAATATAGCTCGTAGCAAAAGCATCCCATTCATTCATTTTTTTGCTGGGGTAACCGTACAACTTTAGTTTTTGATATGAACTTATCTTGGCCACTAAGTAAGCAAATAAATGGTCAAATATTCAAATATTACATTGAAATATTGGGAAGTGTTGGTGTTAGAATGTGATCCAGCCAGAGTTTATAATAAAATATAAGTTGCATATTATCTGGTTGACCCAGTACGTCCCCCAATAAAGTAGGGGGTGCAAGTGGGAGGGGGGAGGAAGAGGGGTGCATGTATCCATTCCTCTAAATTTTAGACCTTTGAATTTTCTACAGCCTTTCTAGAGGTGATAGCTCTACAGCAAGAGAGATTTGCATTGATGCCTATGGTGAAAATTTCTCCTAGTCAAACCATCCTCTCAGATAGGTCAATTCAATTTGACTGGAAACACGACTTATGCATCAATCCTAGTTTCTGACATACAATATTTTCTTGTAACACCTTTCAAGTTAACAAATCCCTCATTAAGAATGAATGAAGCTAACTATTTGTTTTACAAACAAGCTGATTTTTAAAGTTGACCTATGATTCTCCCAATCCATACGAGATATTTGTTCAAAAGGAAAAATGTGTGATAGGTTGTATTCAGTACTTTGTTAAATTCAACAAAGTTTAGAGCTTCCCAGATGTTGATCAAGGAAATGGAATAAGTTGTGACTGACAATCAAAATGAAATTGTCAACAGAGTAATCTGAGCAAGGTCTGAATGTTCACTTAAAAGCAGAATACAAGCTTTATAATATATTGATTGGTTTTTAAATAAATAAAAAAATGGGCCAAAGTATGACAAGATTTTGAACTTTCATTTTTATTTGACTAAATAACTACTTTTAAAGGTTTTCTTAATTGAATTTCCCTCATTAAAAAAAATTATTCTACTCACAAATAACTACGTGTCCAGTCCTTGCACTTTGATTCAATGTTTTATACTATTTCTAATTAAGTAATTTTTCTAAATGTCTGGCAAGACATTTAGATCAACGTTTTTCTGTACATTATAGAAGAAAATATTGACAACCAGTGCATCTGGGGGGTTTTATCATTTTTTACGGTCTTATTTGGAAAAATACATAGCTTTGCCAGATATACAGACTTTAAAATTATGACATTGAAACATATTTAAACGCATTTTGTATACCTTAAAGAAAAAGTGTCAAAACAATAATTTTACCTAGCTAAAGTTAATTACCTCTAACAGCATTTAAAGAAAATTTACAACTTGTCTAATGCATTGCTTATTTATCAAAATCCACAATTTTTAACATATATCACAATCTATTTGCCTTATATGACCTAACTCCAGCTCCAGCACAAGATCAGTCAATGATAATGATAAAAACAACATCTGCAGCAGGTCAGAAGACACATCCATATCACATTCCACTGGGCATTCATACAAGTTTGTATTATCGACTCCCTTAGAGAGAAGTGCCCAGACAATTGTGCAGAGAAGTACCTACTACACTGTATTGACCTAGCACTGTTTTTTAATACAAAATCCTTTTGATTTGACACAGATATTCTGTAAACACTGCATGCATATATTAATCATGTTTTGTCATTTAGTTAAAAGGAGATTCTTAGCATTTGCGTCAATGAACATTTTAAAATTCTACAAAATAAAAGGTGCAAATAGTGAATCTTTTCTGTGGTTTCCATTTCTTTTCACCTTGCCAAGCTGACAATTAAGACTGTCACCATATTGTATGCCAATACATCTTATATGGTCTCATTGTCAGTCCTACTGCTAAATATAGCTACTATCTATTAACATGACAGTATCGGCAGGATGATGGCGTATTGGCAGTTTTTTATGTATTTAACAGTGCTCTGTCTCTAGCTGTATGTACTTAATAAGCCTTCCTCCCCGGGGAACACTTAAGCACAAATGAAATACCAATAGCATGTCATTGACTTTATACACTAATATTGTGTAAAAGTAACCAGGCAAATTCAATACAGGCTTCTATTTAAATATCATAAGGTCTTTACATTTGGACTTTTTAATATCAGGTTGTTCTATTTTGGTTTTTACCTTGAGATACTTTCTCCAGATGAGTTTTGAATATCACGGAGGTTGCTCTGTAGTGCTAAAATTTGCTGCCGCAATTTTTCCAACTCTTGTGTCAAGTCATGGAGTGTTTCATCGAGCCTTGATGCTTGTTTTTCATAGAAGTCAAAAAATCCACTCATCCCTGAGAGAAGTCCATCATCCAACATACCGCACAATGCAACAGGCTGTCCTTCCTAAAATTAAACAAATCCATGACAGCTTGTACTGATATCTTGCTCATTCTACTTAAAACAGACAGTCAAATCCAAATAATATATCTTATAAAATAAAAGCTTATCATACCCCAATAAATTAACAATTAAAGTACAAATGTAAATTAATTTCCCCTTAAATAATTGTAATTTTGAAAACCTATTTAGTGTACTTGTATTTGGCTATATGACTTTTCTTCTTATTTCATTCCTGTGTTCTTCAAACGAAAGTTAAAGTCTATAATGTCATCTTCTCCAGGTGACCATAATTTTTAACGTTTGATTGCTATACAGGTTTTTTCTTGTATCATTCTAACAGATGAATGAAATAGATAATCTAACAGGTTCCATTGATTACAAAGAGAGAAATCAATCAAGTATGTGCAAATATGGATATTGAGTATGTAATTGAGCCTTGTTTTTCATGTCAACTCTGCACAGACAGAGGGTAAAATGTGTACTGTGTACTTCAGATATACACACACTATTTACATACACATACTAAGTAAATAAATACACAGTAATTGGATAGGAATAGATGATTTTAGGTCTATGGCCAAGTAGGCATTAAAACAATTTCTGTGACAATTTTCTCTTTTTTTTAATATGCATGGCATAAAACAGTGTTTCAAAAATTGTCTTTGGCTTATTCAGAAATTTGTTTGTTGTGACCATGGACGAGTTCAAAATATCCAATAAATGTTCAAAAGAAGAGGCCCCTTTCAATGTCGTCTTACCTTATTTTTCCCTGCATCTTTCGTTAAGCTGTCTGCAAATCCATTCAAAACATCTTTCTGTTTCTGTGTCCGCTGTTGTCTGGCAACTAAAAAACCCTTCTTTTTTCCTTGCTTCTTTTAGTTCTTGTTCTAATTCTTTCTGTTTTTCACTTTTCTCAGCCTGGTCTGGCACAACATGCTTCACTTGGAATGATACCTCACTTATAGTAGCGGGCCCTTTACCTTCAACCCTATGTAAAATAATCAAAATAATTATAATCAAATTGTGAATTAAACACATATAATGTTAACAAGTAATGCTAATCACATAATCCCTTGGAACTGAGTGATTTGTGTCAAGAAAACCAAGCTTTATGTAGTAATAAACTTGCAGCAATGCATCTTATTCAGCCAGTGCTGTCAGTGTTTCTGTCTAACACAACCCTGATCATAAGCAATAATTACTTTCGTAAATGATTAATTTTATTTTACACAAAAACCATAGCATATTCCCAACCCCAGTATTATTTAATTGCAATCTATCCTTTTTGCAACTGCACTGTAATTTCTCCATTCAGTCATGTGAAGCTGCAATCAAGTGTCTCAGCTTTAGTTCAACCTGATATCTATGGCTTTACTATTCTATGGATTAGTGTAAAGCTATAGTAAATGATCTCGGCATATATTTATAACCTTTCATTATCCCTACATAATAATACACATTTCGTACCCTTTAATTGCATGGCATGGCATGTCAATCATTCTAACGATATAGATGTAATCATAGTTAACCTGCTCATTTCCTTTAATGACGTACAATTGCAGAATTCTAACATATGGTCCAGCATGGCAGGTACACAGAATACACTAAGACAGAAATGAGGAAAAAGAAAAATTCTGTTTCCTGCCTTGCATTATCCAGTAACACATTCTTAAATCACCCACCTAAAAGCGAACAAATAAAAAAGTGCAAATGATGCAATGATGATGACAAGGAACCTCAAATTGCCGCAAAATGTTGGGAGCATAACAATATCTACTAAAATATGAAGATCTGAAAACAGTTCAAGAGCACACCTTTATTTTAAGTTCACACTGAAAATATGTCTTTTCCTGTTCAACTTTCCAAGAAGTTCTTATCACAGCTCTACTATATACCAAACTGGCTTGTACACCTTGAAACGTACTGGTCCAACACTTCAGAAAATGTATTGCTTATCCAGCAGAGAGTATACTTCAGGATGCAAACATCATTAGAACGCTACATTAGGGTGTCAGAAGGTTGCATTTTCAAAATACCACTTTCATTTCTTTATCAACATCTTGGAAGAGAATTCTAAACTTCCCTCCCTGATTAGATACAACATATCACGTAACACCGACATTAACTAGACTTACTTTTTTTTCTAAACTGATCGTTACATTTGTTCTGGTATGGTTTGGGTTCTTTAAATCAAAGGTTGCATTTGAAAGCTTTTTAAGCCTAATGAGGCCCAGGTGTACCCAGAATGTCTTTTACACAACTGATCAGCAATTTGACTTTTGACATGTTTGCTGCATCCATGGCATTTTCACCTCTGTTGGGCGGTGATACAACAGCGGGGTATACACAGTTTGCGTAGGTTTATCTTGCCAGATTGATCGGCTTCTTTTTATTTCAATATTTAGACTTGGGTGCCTTAAGTCATCATGTATCGGTCATAATAAAGCACCTTGATGTAACGCATACCAGAATTTATTCTAACAAAATTGATTTCAAGCTTATTTTCTTCTTTTCTCTGAGTGCGTATCTGTCAGCCTGTGGTGAGCGGGGGAATCAAGCAAAGCAGACACCATTGCATGTTATAAGATAATATGTCTGCTCAAAATTCCCAATACTAGGACCTACAACAGTACTATAGGAGCTTCGTTTCTATCATTTGTCTCATCTGGGCTGGTCAATTAAGCAGTTAACTACAGTATATAGCTCAAAGATGTTCAGCCTTGCACAGAAATCCATATCCAAGGTTCAACCGTGTGTACTCTGCCAGAAACATGAATAATTCTGAACAACTATTGATTATTCTATTTTAGGGCCTTTACCAGAGCACGGTAGGCCTCGGGAAAGTATTTAGATCAATTATTGGTTGTAATATTAGAACAGAAGACTTCAACAAGACTAGTTTAGAACATCAATATTGTTAAGTTCAATGGTATGTGGAGGTAGCCTGTGAGCACCCCCCCCCCCCTCCTCCTAACACCACCACCACCACCACAACTAACTGTTCCCCTTCATATCCCACTTCATTACATAAATAACTGACACAGGTTATTTATTCAGCTCTTTGCTCTAATAGCTCATCAATCATGCATGCCCTATGTTTATGCCAGAGTAAATAACCAATTTCCGCCTAACTGCTAACAGTAAGTATGAGGTAATAACTTCCCAGGGAAAAATAAGGAAAATTGTAGGAAAAAAAAAACAAATGATAAAGGTGAAAATCAAGGAAATCTCATTTCAAAGTCTCAGCAACTGTTAATAAAAAAATGGCCTACATCATCATCTACACTTTTTCTTCTTTAACTGAGCAACATTTTACTTCAGACAACATTTAAGATTATTTATGGATAATTTAAGTTCTGTAACAATTTTACAAAATTAGCATCTACCCAAAATCCAAACTATCACAACACATAACCAACATGCTATTTGTCATCTTCCAGGGACCTTCCAAAAACTCACTAGCAGCGTCTTTTCAATAAAACAAGATGCTGGCAGGGATAAATACTTGTGAAAAACAGCAAGAAACTGGTTTTTGCAGTTGATTTATCAGCTGGCAGCCTTCCAAGTCAAGTACAAGTAAACCACACCACACTCCCAGACATCTCAAGTTATGCAATAGATGTGTCTGGGTTGTTACTTCTAATTAATTTCTTCAATTTGCTAGGAAATTAAAAGGGTACATGACCTGGCAACTATTACCATCTGTCCTTATATCACCTATGTCTCTGTATCTCTATCAATGATTTACCAATCAATATAAATATCCAAGTATACATAAGCTTATATAAAAATTTACAGAGTGTAAAACTCCTAATTAATAGTATCTTTTTCTCATCCTATTACATGCTATAAAATTTAATGTATCTCCAGACCTAACACAATTACTATTTGAAAAATACTGGCATAGTTCACAATTGCAATTGTAAATAAATATGTGATCCAATACAAAATATTGAACTCTACCCAGAGCCTGTTAATTATCAAGATTATTTACTAATAAACCCCAAACATATCTTGAGCAATAAAATTTTTTAAAAAATAATCTTGATTCAATTGAAAGGGTACAGGTTTTAATTGACTTAAGTACATTTGGAGCAAAATTGATAACCAACATTTTGTTGCTAATATCAGAAAAAGAAGACTGAAAGTTCTACACAGAAGGTTGGATTCATCCCAGGAATATATTTTTGTCAGTAAATAAAAATGAAAAATCATGAAAAAGCAACAAAATACCATTTTTGTGAAGTATTTGAAATTTGTGAATAATTAACACAGACTTACAATTCTATAATGATTAGCATATTTCTTAATTTTTCACACTATTGCATTCACTTTTAAAATACAATTCACTGAAACAGCCTCTTAAATCAATGCATTGCTACTCGTTCAATTCTTCATTTTACACTCAACAGTGCATCACAATTTTCTAAAAAGATAATTAAGTAAAACAAAATATTTATCATGCCTGAATCACTCTTAACCACCAGTCCATCAAGTCCTGAGGTGGCTCTTTTCTGATAATGAAGGAAGCATTCCTAGTTATCACCTGGATGACTCAATAATAGCAATATTACTGATAATGACTACATATTAGACAGTAAGATGATTCATAATTATTCCCTTAGAAAGTCAATGACCTATTCTGATCACTGGTACCTTATCTTGTAACATGAAATTATAGCATTATCTGCATTTTTATAATCATCCATATTTTCACAACAGTATAGGTGATTTGCTATCTATACGAGGTATTAATTAAGCTGTTTAGCGTTATTTTTACGCATTAATTTTTAAATGTCACCTCACTTCAACTGTCTCAAACTAAAAATGCGTGGTATACGTGCACTCCTAATTAAATGCATACTGTAATACTGAACATAATAACGTCAAATTTACATACACCGCACGTGTATATCAATTAAATGCTCCAATCACTGATAATTAAGACTGTAAACAACTTTAAACCTACCTAATCGACTCCGAGTCGATTTCACAGGACAAGCCTTTGACGATCACTTCGTGATCACCCGGTGTAGCATCCAATTTGATTGACCTGCATACTTCTGCACGGTCCAAATATACTGAGACACTCTCTACGGAGCACTCGGCGACGGAAAAAATTCTCTGCATTGGAGTAGAGGTGCCGTCCGTATCCTTCTCCGTTTCTGAAGCACCTGCAACTTCCGCCGCCATTTTGAGCTTGAACAAGTCTCGTAGAAATCATGTGATAACAAAGCAAACGCGAGACTGGGGAACTCGAAATTAAAGACGATTTGGGGCGGAAACAAAGAAACGTTGTCCTACGCTTTCCTAAACATAAGTGAAATACCGATGAATAAACTATTTCTACCACGGATATGTTTACATGGAAGTATTTATGACAGTTTTTATGACATAAAACATATAATGGGTATCCAATAATGGGTCAGCACAACTTACATGTTTTAGCATCAATGATCGTTGTGCACCAGCACTGACGAATGCAAAGATGATTGCGCTTCTTTTCTTTCCAGGTTGCCTGATAAAATGCAAAATGTGTGAATGCTAGTCAGTTTATGCTGAGCAATGTGATTGAAGACAACTTAGTTTGTGCATAATACCTATTAGTATATAAGAAAATTGGTTTCATTCATTCTTATGTTTTTCTCTCTCCAATTTTTTTTTCTGATTTTCTTCCTCGATCTTTAGGTCCTACTTTTCAAATTTATAATTTACCTAACTGGCAATGCAGTGACTAGAGACTGAAAAAATTCCCATTTCAGGTTCTTAGTTTTCATTCGTTTTGCCATCTCAAAGTTCGCAACACAGTACCACAGGTTGCTTGTTCCGCTATTATCATATTGCCAATCTTTTTATTCTATTTACCCCAATGCCCTTTTTGTGACCGAGTGAGGCAAACGTCTTTGTTTTGACGCAGAGTATTCTCGATGGATGATAAAATGTCTAGTAGTTCTCCGGTTTCTAAAGGTACATCAGATGCAGTAACTACCGTACCCAAAACCGACAAGAAAGAGCCCGAGCCCAGTGGTGAAGAGGGAAAACGCCGAGCGTCACCGGTTGATGACAATGACGATACTCTCAGTTCTGAAGATGCCGCTAGACGAAGCAGACGAAAAAGACCAAGGGTATGTAGAGATGTGATATTTTTGTAAGGCCAAAATAGATGTCATGGTATTCGACATATTTATACACACGGGGTTTGTTGCCATATGGGTATTTTACGTTTGCTGTTTACCTATGTCAATATTTACCAATTACATCATTAATTACCAACATAAAGAAATTATAAACGCAAGATGAATGTTTATGGGTATATTTATCATATTAATAAAGTATAAATTAATTGAATGCTTCTGTTTTAGCAGGCTTTGTCTCTACTTATCCACTTTCGTCTAATTGAGTGGTATATCAAGTTGGAATTCTTCAACTGCACCGTTTCATTTGACAGTGCATGTAATTGTGATCAAGTTCCATTCTGCTAGAGAAGATAAGAAATCTGATATAACATTATGTTGAATATGTGTCCATGTAAAACAGATTGTTTTAATATTACTGATACAAACAGGTAGAATACAAAGAAATGGATGAACATTTGGCAAACTTATCAGAAGATGAATACTACTCAGAAGAAGAAAAGAAAGTGAAACCAGCCAAGGAAAAGCATCACCATCACCACCACCACCATCATCATCATCATCCACATCTTCTCCCAACACACCTACAACATAAACAAGAGCAGCTTCAGCAACAGCAGCAACAGCAGCAGCAACAGCCATCTGCTCCTCCACCAAAAGAGGAGGAGATTGCAGACGAGAGTGAGTTGGAAGATCCAAGCCAAGTTGCAGGTACCACTTTGTGAATGCCATTTGTTATTTTGAAGAAAATGATTACATAGCATAATGGAAAGGTTTTTTGATGATATCCCTTTGCAAATATAATGAATGCTACTACATTGTATGAATTGATTGATAAAGGTAATGTGAACTTTTTTGAATTATTTGTTTGTTAGGTCTTGAAGGTGCAGCATTCCAGAGCCGCCTGCCGTCAGACAAGATGACACAACAGGAAGCATTATACTTTCCAGAAATTGCTGCAGCATCACCACAAACCCAAAAAGTCTACCTGTACATAAGGAATAGACTGGTAAGCTATTTATTTGTCTTAAATCTTTCAAAATAAGAAAACTATTATTAAAGTAGATTAACAAAAATACTTGATGATGTTGTTTTATATGTCACAGAGAATGGCAGTGCTCTCGCCAAATAAAGAATAATTCAGTAATTATTGTACCGTTGGTTTCTGGATAAAATTTAAGTACATATGTATTTCATTAATAAAGGTAAAGAAGAACAGTAAATGTAATGTTTTCAGCTTCAACTTTGGTTAGAGAACCCCAAACAGCAGTGCACCTATGAAAATGCTTTAGCTCAAATAGAGCCTCCATATAACAGTAAGTGCAAAGATATGTATTGGATATCAAATATACAGATGAAGGTATTTACTCATTTTAAGGGCCATTTATACTGTTTGTTAATGAATGGGTTATTAATAGCATATACTAATTATTACTGAATAATATTTGCTCAATTTTTTTTTATTCTTAAAAGTCTTCTGATAAGATCAACATTTTTTATATTGTAATTTGTTGTTTCCTTATGTTCCAGGTGATGGAATGTTAATAAAATGTATTCATGGGTACCTTGAAAGAGTTGGGTTGATCAATTTTGGTGTTTATAAAAGGCTGCAACCAATACCAGGTGTGTATTCTAATTTAATAACTCCTTCCTTAAAAGTCATAAGTAACTCACCAGAAATGTCCATAACAGATATAAAATGATATCGATATGAAAACTAACAATCCATCTTTTTAATATCTAGCAAAGAAGAAGGGCAAGATTGTCATTATTGGAGCAGGCATCTCTGGTCTAGCTGCTGCCAGACAGTTGCAGTCTTTTGGAATGGATGTTGTCATATTGGAAGCAAGAGTGAGTATGGTTTTAAGGAACAAAAATTTGCAATACTTCTTGATACCAATGGAATTGCTTTTCATTCAGATGAGATATTGAAAAAATGCATATCATATAGACTTGCCCTTCAGGAAATTGACGGAAAATGGCTCATTTTCAAAATTGAATGGGCATTGTAGAAAAAGCATGATGGCTAAAGCTCTCAAATTTTATGCCCTCCATTATTTCATGCTGTTTGATTGTAAATCATTATATTATTTGGGTTATCATGTTTCTTTAAATAAAGGACCGTGTCGGAGGTAGAGTAGCAACCTTTAGAAAGGGGAACTACATAGCAGACCTTGGAGCCATGGTGGTTACAGGTTTAGGTAAGATTCCACTCATGCAGATGGGGTATTTGTATGTTATTTATCTCGTAATAGTTTTCAGTCCCAGTTTATTAAAATGAATAGTATTAAGATCAAGGATCAACACTTGATTTTTACACTGGTATATTATCTACCTTAAAAGCATTCAGTCTCTTTTGAGATCTTGGTCAGACTGATTCCTAAGTTACAAATGGAATGTTAATAGGCTTGTATGCTTTCTGAAAATGTTATAGATAGTACATATTTACCTTACTGGGTTTCTGATCATTTGTTGCTAAAAGTTTTGACTTTGCTTGAATATCATCCAAGCTTACATTTGGGTCATTGTATATTTTCCAGGAGGAAATCCTGTCACGGTGTTAAGCAAGCAAGTTGCTATGGAATTACATAAGATAAAACAAAAATGTCCACTGTATGAGAGTAATGGCAATACAGTAAGTGAATCACTTTGAATGCTTTTTTGTTTGTTTTTTTTTCTTGCTATTTTGACATGCAGTCATTGGTGTTATCAAGTATCTGATAATGTATAATTATTTTATTTAATGTAAATTGATATTTTGTTAATAGGCTCTAGTAAAAAAATGTAAATTAGGATTTTTAGCAATATGTCAGTTGTTTGTAATTATTTTATTGTGTAAATGTTGTTTTATCCACTTGTATGACAAGGGTTTAATTTGCACCTGAGAAAGATTTGTTTAAGAGAACAGATTTTATAACTGAAAGCAGTAATGGCAAACAATCTGATATCTCCTTTATTTCAGAAGGTCGCCAAAGACAAAGATGAAATGGTTGAACGTGAATTCAACCGTCTGTTAGAGGCCACGTCATACATGTCTCACCAGATGGACTTCAACTTCATAAGTGGGAAGCCTGTCTCTCTGGGCCAGTCCTTGGAGCTGGTCATCAAGTAATCATATTTATACATTCTCCTAATTGTATTTTAAAGTTTGTCTCCAGTCCTCATGAAATTTAAAAATAACATTTATCCTTTTTATTTTTTTAGACATTGGTGAAGTTTTAGATTATCTAAAATACTTGGTACGTGATCTTTTATCATTTTGGACAAGATGATTTCTTTGCATTGGTTTACCAAATATTGATGATAAATGGAAGTGGCTCATGTATTCTTTTCTTGTTGTAGGCTACAAGAAAAACATGTCAAAGAAAAACAAATTGAACATCAGAAAAATATCATTGAACTTCAGGAAAAACTAAAGAAGAACCAAAATCAGGTAAAAAAATGACTTTCTGTCTTGCCATAATATCAGTGCTTTACACTTCTTTTAAGGTAATTGTCTCATGTGCAGTAAGGAGGGTAATTGTTGTAACAACCCAAAGTGCTAAAAGGTAGAAAAAAAAAAGAAATACCATTTCAGTTTTAGGAAAATTTATGAAAAATGTTTTCAGATGATCTCCTTGAAAGATAAAATCCAGGAATATCATAAACAGTGGAAAGATGCCTCAGAAGTCAAACAGCCCAGGGATATCACAGCAGAGTTCTTAGTAAGGAGTAAACAGAGGGACCTCAATACTGCAGTTAAAGTAAGTAAACCTAATTTACATTAAATCTGATCTGTATATNAAATATTAAAATGATATCGATATGAAAACTAACATTCCATCTTTTTAATATCTAGCAAAGAAGAAGGGCAAGATTGTCATTATTGGAGCAGGCATCTCTGGTCTAGCTGCTGCCAGACAGTTGCAGTCTTTTGGAATGGATGTTGTCATATTGGAAGCAAGAGTGAGTATGGTTTTAAGGAACAAAATTTTGAAATACTTCTTGATGCCAATGGAATTGCTTTTCATTCAGATGAGATATTGAAAAAATGCATATCATATAGACTTGCCCTTCAGGAAATTGACGGAAAATTTTTCAAAATTGAATGGGCATTGTAGAAAAAGCATGATGGCTAAAGCTCTCAAATTTTATGCCCTCCATTATTTCATGCTGTTTGATTGTAAATCATTATATTATTTGGGTTATCATGTTTCTTTAAATAAAGGACCGTGTCGGAGGTAGAGTAGCAACCTTTAGAAAGGGGAACTACATAGCAGACCTTGGAGCCATGGTGGTTACAGGTTTAGGTAAGATTCCACTTATGTAGATGGGGTATTTGTATGTTATTTATCTCGTAATAGTTTTCAGTCCCAGCTTATCAAAATGAATAGTCTTAAGATCTAGACTCAAAGCTTGATTTTTACACCGGTATATTATCTACCTTAAAAGCATTCAGTCTCTTTTGAGATCTTGCTCAGTCTGATTCCTAGGTTACAAATGGAATGTTAATAGGCTTGAATGCTATCTGATAATTTAATAGATATTACGTATTTACCTAACAGGGTTTCTGATCATTTGTTGCTAGAAGTTTTGACTTTGATTGAATATCATCCAAGCTTACATTTGGGTCATTGTATATTTTCCAGGAGGAAATCCTGTCACGGTGTTAAGCAAGCAAGTTGCTATGGAATTACATAAGATAAAACAAAAATGTCCACTGTATGAGAGTAATGGCAATACAGTAAGTGAATCACTTTGAATGCTTTTTTGTTTGTTTTTTTTTCTTGCTATTTTGACATGCAGTCATTGGTGTTATCAAGTATCTGATAATGTATAATTATTTTATTTAATGTAAATTGATATTTTGGTAATAGGCTCTAGTAAAAAAATGTAAATTAGGATTTTTAGCAATATGTCAGTTGTTTGTAATGTAATTATTTTATTGTGTAAATGTTGTTTTATCCACTTGTATGACAAGGGTTTAATTTGCACCTGAGAAAGATTTGTTTAAGAGAACAGATTTTATAACTGAAAGCAGTAATGGCAAACAATCTGATATCTCCTTTATTTCAGAAGGTCGCTAAAGACAAAGATGAAATGGTTGAACGTGAATTCAACCGTCTGTTAGAGGCCACGTCATACATGTCTCACCAGATGGACTTCAACTTCATAAGTGGGAAGCCTGTCTCTCTGGGCCAGTCCTTGGAGCTGGTCATCAAGTAATCATATTTATACATTCTCCTAATTGTATTTTAAAGTTTGTCTCCAGTCCTCATGAAATTTAAAAATAACATTTATCCTTTATATTTTTTTAGACATTGGTGAAGTTTTAGATTATCTAAAATACTTGGTATGTGATCTTTTATCATTTTGGACAAGATGATTTCTTTGCATTGGTTTACCAAATATTGATGCTAAACGGAAGTGGCTCATGTATTCTTGTCTTGTTGTAGGCTACAAGAAAAACATGTCAAAGAAAAACAAATTGAACATCAGAAAAATATCATTGAACTTCAGGAAAAACTAAAGAAGAACCAAAATCAGGTAAAAAAATGACTTTCTGTCTTGCCATAATATCAGTGCTTTACACTTCTTTTAAGGTAATTGTCTCATGTGCAGTAAGGAGGGTAATTGTTGTAACAACCCAAAGTGCTAAAAGGTAGAAAAAAAAAAGAAATACCATTTCAGTTTTAGGAAAATTTATGAAAAATGTTTTCAGATGATCTCCTTGAAAGATAAAATCCAGGAATATCATAAACAGTGGAAAGATGCCTCAGAAGTCAAACAGCCCAGGGATATCACAGCAGAGTTCTTAGTAAGGAGTAAACAGAGGGACCTCAATACTGCAGTTAAAGTAAGTAAACCTAATTTACATTAAATCTGATCTGTATATTATAATCATATTGAAACATTCTGAAAGTTCTTTTTATTGGAAAAACAATATGATTCAAAGTCACTTCCTTAGATTAGTCTCATGTGTCAATGGACATCCAGAGTGATAATTTTTTATGGATTTTTGTACTCTTTTAGGAATATTCTCAGTTAGTTACACAGCAGAAAGAAATAGAAGACAAATTACATGAACTGGAGTCAACCCCTCCCAGGTGAGTGGAACAACCCAAGTGAAATATTTAAACAAAAATGTATTGCGAAAAAAAGAAGTTCCAGATATTATGTTTAAATCTTAGCATATAAATTTGGATACCTCTGATTACATCAGATATTTTTTTGTTTCGAGTCATGATGCACAAATACATGGGACAGAGCATGGTGCAGCATGTTGTTTCTGCTCAAACAGTTGTTAATGTCCTGTTTACCACTTAGTGCAAAGCTTTACGCAAAATAGAGTAGATTAGACTAGACTTGTCCTCTTCAATCACAGCTCTTCGTCTGGTTAACTTCTNCACAGCTCTTCGTCTGGTTCTCTTCAATCACTTAGAGAAATTATGATAGGGCCAAATTAGCAATTTTTTTTTACGTATGTTCCAGTGATGTATACCTCTCGTCACGGGATCGCCAAATCTTGGACTGGCATTTTGCCAACCTTGAGTTTGCTAATGCTACACCACTGTCCAATCTTTCCCTCAAACACTGGGACCAGGATGATGATTTTGAATTCTCAGGAAGCCATCTCACAGGTAAATACAGAGTTTGGACTTGCTTTAAAAACCTTAAAAATTAGATTGGATATGGTAAACTGGCAAAATTAAAATATTTGTGTGACTTATTGTTGCCTAATACAACTGTTGTATCTTAGTGAGATATAATTTACAGTGTTTTATCATTTCAGTGCGCAATGGCTACTCCTGTGTCCCAGTTGCATTGTCAGAGGGATTGGACATCAAACTAAACACAGCAGTCAGACAGGTCAGACATGGACAACATGGTATGTTTTCATGTAATATTATAGTTCATTTATGACATCTTTTGGATAAGGACTGTCAATTGTACTCAGTGCACCATCATGGGTGGCCAGTGCTTTTAGATATTAATGAATGAAAATCAACTGTTTGAAAACATTTATAGAGAACAAGCTTTATTATATAAATGTCTTTTATTGTCTCAGCATATTACTATATGAGATATATGAGTTAAAACATGTTAGTTGAAGATACTGCACAGAGTGTCTTATTTATTTATTTATTTATTTATTTATTTTATTTATTTATTTATTTTTTCACTTTTACCAAAGAACATTCAAGACTGTAGTGGACAATTAAAAGGGTCTTATTTCTTTTCAGTGGAAAAAACTGCATTAAATATAAATATAAATGTGTTTTCTGAACAAATGAATTTATTTTTAACCCTGTATCAATTTTCTAGCATTCATATAAATATGTATTTATATGCTCAGGTGTGGAGGTAGTGACCAGTAATGCTAGAAACAACAGCAATCCTCTCACATACAAAGCTGATGCAGTGCTGTGTACACTTCCCCTGGGTGTGATGAAGGAAGCAGTGAGGGGGTCAGGGCCCAATGCTGTCCAGTTTATGCCACCTCTTCCAGACTGGAAAACTGCAGCCATACAAAGAATGGGCTTTGGGAATCTCAATAAGGTATTATATACAATGATACAGTAGTGCTAGTTCTACAAGAATTCTCTTTAGAAAGTAAGTCCTTGGAATTTTGTTTGTGTTTTTTCATTATAAGAGTTTGAGTTGATGATTAGCATTAGAGACTGGTAGGTAGATTCATCGCAATAGCTGTTTTAAAATTACAGCCGGAATATTTGAAATCAAAGACATTCTCCCCATGATTAAAATTGTAGCAATACAGTGAAAAACATTCTAAGAAGCAATTGATTCTGTCTACAGGTTGTACTGTGTTTTGATCGTATCTTCTGGGATCCCAATGCCAACTTGTTTGGTCATGTTGGCAGCACCACAGCCAGCAGAGGAGAGTTGTTCCTGTTTTGGAACCTGTACAAGGCACCTGTCCTGCTGGCCTTGGTAGCTGGGGAGGCTGCGGCCATCATGGAGAATGTCAGTGATGATGTCATTGTTGGACGCTCAATTGCTGTGTTGAAGGGAATTTTTGGGAACCATGCTGTGCCACAGGTAAGTATTTTGTATTCATTCATGACCTGCAACACACATATTTCATCACCAAAGGAAGGGAGTTTGAAAAATTGTAAAAAGAAAAGAGGTTTGGTGTCAATGACTTTATCTTTTATTAAAGGGAATTGCATTTTAGAGAGTGCTTTAATATAAGATGTACTTTTCGAAGATGAAATATGACTATGGATATTTTCCATGTTACAGCCTAGAGAAACGGTTGTCACTAGGTGGCGTGCAGACCCTTGGGCAAGAGGCTCTTATTCTTATGTGGCTGCTGGATCCTCAGGTAAGAGATATATTGCAAACTATTAAGTATTTAAATAAAAATATTTTGATTTGACATAGATAAAATGTTTAACTTAATTTTTTTAAAATTTTATGTGTTAAAATATGTTTTTTTTTTTTTTTGTTTGNTAATGTATGCTATACGATGTTATTAGCTTGAAAGGTATCAAAGACATTTTCATCATAAACCTTGGGATATTTCAAATTTCTTTCAATATTGCACACCTATTCATCAATGTGTACTTTATATGTATATGTTTAATATATGGCATACATTAAACATATACATATAAAGTACACATAATGGTAATAAGCACAACCATCATTTCAGGTAATGACTATGATTTAATGGCCTCTCCAATAGCCGTGGACAATGATGGCAACATCTCTCAGCCAAATATCACCCAGAACAATGAAACCAGCAAGGATGACAAGAAACCACAGGAAATCCCAAGATTATTCTTTGCAGGGGAACACACCATCAGGAACTATCCTGCCACTGTGCATGGAGCAATGCTGAGTGGTTTAAGAGAGGCTGCCAGGATTGCTGACCAGTTCCTGGGGGCAGACTGTGCCATCCCTCCCAAACCTGCCACTGTACATTTATGATAGGTTATTATTCTTGGACCTGGTTCTTGCATGGAGTGAGAAAAACAAACCTCCAGTTGATCCCACTGTGACTGTCGATTGTGAAGGTGGAGCAGCCATCTAGGTTAAATTTGAGAAGATGGATCAGATGGATAATGTGTTGAATAATGTTGGCAACAGAGATGGTTCATTCTGGTCTGTATGTACAGATCATTAAACTTGGAGATGGAGCAAAACAGCAATAAAATCAGAAATTACCAATATTGGACAGCAAACAGACAGTGCTAGATGTTTCCGTGTAAGAAAATGGACTGTTTTTGATCGAAGGCTGTCACTCTGTTAATCTATGAGCTGATAATTTTGCTCTATAAAGAAACTCTATAACACTAGTTCCCTAGCTCCATTAACATGTAATGAATAAATCGATTGGAAGCCTGTCTTTACGTTTACAACCTTTAATGTATATTAATTTTATACAACTAAATGAGAAAGGTCAATCGTTTGCTTGGAACTGTGGTAGCTTGTATATACCAGTAGTTATGGTAGATTTTGGTAAAAGATATTGATAAATCTTTTAGAATGTAAATAATATTACAGTATTTTAATACATGATGCATATGGAAAAATAAATGCATAAGTATTTGGAACGTTTCTGTAGTTTTTAATGTTGTCGTTGCAATATGGAATTCTTGAAAGTGTATGAAGACAAACGAAAACATGCCAAGACCGGAATTTACTGTGCAAGCAGAGATGGGTATTTAACGCGTTTAGTTAAATGCTATGTTCGCCGTGGAAAGTGATCTTTCTGTTATTGCATGGTTTATGAGAACACCTGTTTTACATGGACATCGTTTTATGATATCAAATTCAAAATATAAAACAGAAAATCTACGACTGTGCACCAGATAGTTATGATTTGACCTGCTTTATGAAGTGTAATTAAAACGTTATTTTCAATTACTGAGCTTGTGTATCGTAAAAAAACTTAAGGTGGCGCCGATAATTACTCGATCTTTCATTTTTTTGGCACTGAGTTTACATCTTTCATTGTAACACGTTTATCATTCTGTCAACAGCTCTTGGCGTTATTTAGGCTCCCTTCAAAGTTCAATCTCGTCTGGGTGGCACGTCCTATGTAATCATTTCAGATGGAAAATAAATTAGATGTGAAATTGTGTTCTTTCAGAGATAAACTCAATAAGGCGTGATTGGTTCTCTGTCTTTGATGTCTGCCATCTTTTATCGTCTCTATTAGATAAATCGCCAATTCACTTTATAGTGAAGCTTCTAATTTGGGCAATAGAAGCTGTAGATAAACTGATACGTACAGTGGATCGAAAGGAACATGTTAGTTTGGATCGAAGTCTAAGCGAATGACCTATATTCTTTGAACAGTATAGGTATCATCTCATAGGTCCTGTATGTTTTTTAACTACATAACTAACTTTGAGGTGGCATTGTTTTATTTTTAAACCAGTTCGCTATCGTATAGATTTTATAGATTGGACTGAGAACGGTGTGCGAGGCGAGAATTCAATTGTTCTCAAAATATCTCAGAAAATTTTTATCCAAGGTGGTTCTGTTTTTATGGTAGCTCATTAATTTTTTTCATACCCACGAATTCAAAGAAACAAAACTTTAATGACAAGCTTATTTGGCATGTTGACTTCGCAGATAGATATGGAAGTAAAATAATGCTATATTACTTTCAAAACTTAGTAATTAAAAATATAGGCCTATTATAAACTGTTTTTCAGTTAATACCTACATGCATGGGGGAGAGGGCGAACTTTTCTTTACAAAATAAAGCGAGTGTTATTATTGACAACAGTTATATTATTTAGAATATGCCATCTTATTAGACACTCAATATTCAATACTAAAAAAGAACAAAAACATTACATTTTGTGATCAAAAAATATAATTCGCGATAAAATAAGATAATGGCGATAATTAATAAATGCTGGGACCACTAATTTTTAAATGCTATTGAAAACGCTTCGGAATATATACATGTAAGTTGAATGGACAAACAAGGGGAAAATTATAATGAGCATTAAGGGAAAAAGCTTCGCAAGTGGATTGAAAATCTTTTCAATCCCTGACAGTGATTCCATCCCTGCGCCTGAAACGTTTTGCCACGTAAGCATTGGACTTTAGGAATTGACGGTACAGCTCTTTTCCATAGGACACTTTGTCGGTAGTTCTTGGAATTTTCAGATTTTCAGATTGTAGCGCTTATTAAGTTCATACATATGGAAAAATATCAAGTTCGGTAAAGAACGTCTTGCATTCTGTCGTACTATTATTACTATGCAAACATACAAAAATATTAAACACAAAGTGTTAATTAAAGACAACCCGCGTTCACTGTAACCAAAACCTCAAAACGGGCTCAATCAGGGGATATATTTCGATTTTTACAGCAGAAGCATTATACTCTACTCTGACCTCTATATCCATTAAACAAAAACTTCTCAGGGAGTTCAATTTCATTATTAACCCTGTCTTTGTGTACGTCTGGTAGGGCATACGCCATTTTGTCCCAGAACCATGGATCGTCCCACCGCAGATACGTTTTCGTTTTCATGTAAGCACGCAACTCGTTATCCATATTTTTAAGAGGGATATCCTCCAAAAGAATAACAATGACCCTGTTTGTGCGATCTTGGAGAGCCTGGTGATGGGCGGTTTGGAACTCGTACAAACACCATTCACTGTCTAAAAAATTCTGTGAAAGTACGAGGATTGTGCGTTTACTGGCCTCCACTGCGTCAATAATTGTCTCTGCGATACTTGCTCCTACGGGGAAGTCTCTATAGTGCAGGCAGAGCTTGTAACTCGGGTGGCCGTTCTCAAGACGAGGGGCCAGTTCGTGGACGATTAAATGCTCATCTTTGCTACTGTAAGAGATGAAGGCATCGAATATCTTTTCATCGTCATCCGGCGGCTTGTAAAAGGGCCGACAGCCGAACTTAACAAATATCCAAACTTTGATTTCAGTTCTGTAGTAAAGGAGAAGGGAAGTCACTATCACAGTTAAAAAGAATAAAATTGACACTGACACTAGTGCTGCGACATGGGTTGTGTTGATTTCCTTCTTGTGGATATATCGGACTGATCCAGAGTTATTTCTTGTTATGTTATTGCAGTAAAAGTCTTCATCAAAATAAAGCACTTTATTTTGTACAACCATCACATCATCCACGCCCCCTTTGTATTTTGCGCGTTTTCCTACTACACGCTGCACCGGATACTGTGTATTGTTGACTTTCATGATTTCGTATTCACTTCCATTTATTCTCTTAAAAGTACAGTTGATGTTTCCTACATCAAAGATAATGGCTTTGTATGAAACCACCCAGTGTTTGAAGTCATATATAACGTCACAGTCACACGGCCATCGATTATGGGACAGCGTCAAATGAACCAGAGACGTTACGTCAAAGACGTCTGGGAGCAACAAATATTCCAGCCGGTTGCTATGCAGTGTAAGAATCTTTAACCGAGATAAACTTGCGAAGGTACTTGGATCGATACTGGTCAATAAATTGTGATCCAAGTAGAGGTTTTCCAGCATTGTCATCCCGGAAAAAGAGTATTCTTTCAGATCTTCGAGTAAGTTAAAACTGAGATTGAGAGTTCGGAGTTGAAAAAGACCAGTGAAGGATTGGTTTGCTATGGAAACTAAACTATTGTTAGCTAAGTCAATACTTGAAAGATGTCTTTTTCCTATGAACCCCATTGGTTTAAGTTCCGTTATTCCATTGTTGGCTAATGTTAGATTTGTAAGCATCATCCCTAAGTGTGGCACAGACGTATATCCTTTGTTATCACATCGAACGTCATTGATATTAGTGTCGTGTGTTTGGTAGCACGTGCAGTTTTCCGGACAAACATGTCTGCAATCGCACGCAGTAAATTCACAGCAGTGACAAAAGATGGACGAACAGTAGGTCTGGTACTGGCACACCACATCCTCCCCTCTTAGTTCCACATATCGCTTTAAGCCCTTCTCACCGGGAAAGGCATTTCTACAGTAGACATCGTTCATATCAGGAATTTTGGGGAACTTTGGGTTAGATTGGTAGTATCTGTACATAATGTCCAGCCACTTCATATCGCAAGTACAGTTGAGAATATTACCGCCCAGTTGGATCTCGGGAACATGGGCAAAGCCCGGAATTTGCCGCGTGAGCGGTGAAACGTAGAGCGCCTCTCTTTCAAGCACACGTATACTGTTAACCCTTAAGTCCACGTTGAAAAGTAATATTAGATCTGAAAATGTGTACGGAGCTATGTAGGAAATCCTATTCAGGCGTAGGTGAACTTGCTGCAAATACAAGGGAAACGTGTCTCTTTCAAGCCATTGGATTCTGTTGTTTTCTAAATTCAGAACAGAAAGCTTAGAAAGTCTATTGAAAATGAAGTCAATGTTTTTGATTTCATTATTTTCCAACTTGATATAAGTTAAATTTTCTAAAGGATCAAATGCGCCCATTTCTATTTTTGATATTCTGTTGTTGGCCATATTTATCACTCTCAAGTTTCGCGCGCTGTAGAAAAATTCCCGAGGAATCTCGGGGATAAAATTATCCTTCAGCTTAATTCCTTGCAAATAGTTCAAACCTAGTAAATCATCAAATTTTATTTCTCTGATACTGTTTTTCGCCATGTCAAGGATGGTTAAAACGGAGAGGTGCCGTAATGTCGAAGGTATAGAGGTTAGAAAGTTATTGCTAAAGTTTAAAGCAGTGACACTTTGGCAGTCTTGGAACGCGCTTGGGTGCGTCTTGTCAATAAGATTCTCGGCTAAATTTAACTCCTGAAGTCTGAACAGCCCCTTTAAACTTTGTCCGCCCAATGTGGATAAGGAATTTTTAGACAATCCCAGATTCATCAAAAGGTTCAAGTTCCCGAACGCGCCAGGCGGTATTGTTGTCAATTTATTCAAGTCTAAGTTCAGGGTATGCAGACGTACATTGTGCTGAAAAGTTTCATTTGTAATGGTGCTGAGACTATTGTTGCTAATATCTAAATGCAGGAGAGATGAAAGATCTCCCAGTGCGCTGCCAACATCTGTCAGTCTGTTTCCCTGGAGGAGCACCACCTTTAACAAAGTGCAGTTTTCGAACGCCGTGTCAGCCACAAATGTCAAAGCATTGAACGACAAGTTCAGATATTGCAAATTTTCCATCTCAGCAAACTGCTTCTGGCCCAGATTTTCTAACACGTTGTGACTTAAATCTAACGTCTGTAATTTCTGAAGATTCTCTAATCCTTTATCTGATATATTCTGCATAAAATTGTGGCTGAAGTTTAATGTTACAAGGTTGGGGAATGCTATGCCCAATCCAGATGGAAGCTGACTTAAGAAATTATAACCTAAATTTACTTCTTCAACATTTGAAGAACACAAAGAACATGTTTCGTCACTGGAACAATTGAACCCTGCGTCCCACACATCCAATAGTGAATTCGGTCCCAGTTTGAGATATTTCAATCTGTGGAGATTGCAAAACATCCCCGTGTGAAACCAACGATTGTCTCCAATAACTTCAAGTTGTTCCAGATTTGGAACCGCGTCGAAAACGCCAAAGGGCAACGGTGATGCACTGTCTCTTGCCTGGAGAACGTTGCCTATGCTCAGTCGTTTTAAACTAGTTAGTCCAGCAAACCAGCGTGATGGAATATCTTCCAGACGACATGCAATGATGCTTAACTCTTCTAGATAATTTAGGTGTGAGAATTGGTTGTCTTGTGGCTCACTGCGTGGCCTTGAAAAAAATGAAGCGGTACAGAGCACTGATAGCCATACCGTATGGTTGGTCTGTATTGGGACAAGGCTGCTGTTTGTTAGACTTCTGTATCGGCAAACTAACTGAACGGCATCACCCCTGCCCGGAAGAGTTGCACAGCGACAATTTGTAGGACAGTAATACTGGATTCGCGGCGGTTGGCCCATGGTAGAACTGTATAAGACTATAAGTGCCATCAGCGCCTTCATCAGCGTCCTAGTTGAAAGAATGTCCATGATGCCTGTAAAAAAGCAGGAATAAATTTATGCGGAGTTTACATGAAATTCTACTTCGTAAGCAATGTCTTTATATCGAGAACAATCAGAGCTATCAGTTGTTCTAGAAAATGGATTGGTTAAGCTAAATCTTATGCACTTGAAATAAGCAGAGTGTAATATTGCGAGTAGGTCACACTATGTGGAAAATCCATTTTAAATCAAACCGTCAGCTGGATTGTTATTATCACACTTATTGCCTGCTTCTAGCCGTGATTAATTATTGTAGAGTTCTGTTATCTGCCCGGTATCTGCGCGTGAACAGTCAGAATATATGTATGTTTGTGAGACAGACATTGTTACCCTAAGTTTTAAAAAACAACTGGAAACTGGTATATAATAATAGAGGTTAGTCATCGTCACTGCTTTAACACTTATGTTTATGGAAAGACTCTCATGTCGTATATCTTTCTTTATCTTGTTTGTGTTAGCATTTTCAGGTAGATAAAAAGAAATTAAATATTATGACAAAATCATTGGCGTTCTTAATTTTTTTCTATGCTAAAACTGGATAAAGATGTAATACAATGCATTTAATATAACGCATTTGCTAAATGGGTGCTTTTAAAGCAGCAAGAATTTTAGACTGCATTCCCACAGATATAGATCGATCTATCATGATCGACCTAACTCCCTAGGGGTTCACGCTAAATTGCTGTCAGCCGATCGTGCACGATAGTTAATTACCCCCTTACAGCTTTTAGTAGGCGGGACAGACATTTAAGCCGGCTAAGCTGACAGTAATCTAGTGAGACTCCCCACGGGGATAGATCAATCTAAAATCTGTGGGAATGCAGTCTTAGATTTATTCATAGTCTCAGAAGGTAAAGAAAAAAAGCCGAAGTATTTATAATTATCAATTTTTTTTACCGTGAAGAAAATTTGGCACATAGTGTTTTGTGGAGAAACGAAAATTGTCAACGTTCTTGTTTTATAAATATCATGAAATTCATTAAATTAATGTAGACTAAAGCAAGGTGTTTAAACGACAATAAATTTCTAAAGTGATGAGCGAGCACACTTGAAACGCTCTTGAAGCATTTCTCTTCATAACGATGGTAAAGTTCAATTGATTTTTGCAAGATATTGCTCAGACATTAGTCACTTAATTCAGAGACGTATATTAGAGGTTCCGTTCCCTGTTAGCCCCATTTTGGAGGTGATTATTGGTAACGGCCACTTAAACTTATTGCGTGACAAATTGCATGCAAAAGCCGTTTTCATCCAGCCGTGGCACTGTAGTTTCAAAGCCAACGAAACATATTGGATCTAGCACTGTTTTTGTACAAGAATAAATAAGCCAGCTAAAACTGACGTATGTACAGACAAGCTACACAACTGTACATCAGTCGTCTGACAAAATAGTACAAAAATATGCAAATATACAAACTTAAACCGTCTGACAGTCCACAGACTTCTAATGTAAATAAAGGGACAAAATAATTGAAAAGAAAACTGGAACAAAGTAAATTAGGTACATGTCCGTTTTTGACATCGACCTGCATCGTAAGGCAATGAGTAATCACTGTCCCTATACAATTTAAGTCTACAACTAACAACAACAATAATAAGTTTTAAAATTGCGTTTATCTTGTATTTTCTCAAAATGTTCTAGTATCCATGCTTGTAACTATCAGGTATATATATATTATGGTATTTAGGAAGCTCTACACGTTAGAACCCATTTCTTTATCTGCTAAGAAAACGCAAAAATAAACAACTGTCATGTTATGTGATAATGCTGTCAAGTCAGAAATACATCGTGGTGAATTTGCTAATTCGAGCTGCGTTTTTGTGTTTTAAATTGTGTTTTCTATTTCAAGCAGATCTCTCTCACCTGAACAGCTATCGACACCGTTTAACCCCCTTCTTAATCACAACAATAAATACAATAAACTGGTGTCAGGGAATCTTCTTGAAAGGCTTGATTGTGATTTTATCAGTACATAGGCGAAATATTGCCGATGAAATAGATATCTCATAAACAAAAAAGATTTAAAGCAAACGCCGGCACCGGATGGTGTTTCACATACCCTTGTCATCTACTACGTCCACTACCTCAATTTTCACGTTGATATATGACTTAGTTAAGGCGCCAAAAGATCACTATCTTACGCCAATTTTCAAAGCAGTTAAAATGAGAGATGATAAAGGGGGAGTCTTAAGAGCAGAAGCGCGTGGGATGGTAAATAAAACAACAAACTGGTTAAATTCATTACACAAATATCTGATTAAGTATTTTATATAAGAAACCGAAAAAGGCCTATTTTGACCGATTTATGTCAATTTAACGGATCAACCGACCTTAATAAGGGAAGAAGAAAGAACTGAAAAAAAAAAGAAAAATGAACAGCACTGATGTATCTGTGCATAAGAACAAAGCCAAAATTATCGACAAAAATATTCAAGAAATGTTAAAAATAATTGGACCTGGCCTATATAATAGACCCACAAGCAACTCATAAGTATGCTTAAGAAAGATTTAATATGTCTCATTCACAATGTTAAACATCAGCGTTAGAGGTTATATCACCTTCACATTATCACTGGCTTGTGTTTACACAAGAACGCGTAATCAGTTATGTTGAAAAAAATCTAGGATAACCTCCCTGGTTTCAACATCCAAATAAGTGACAGAGAAAACACGCACACATACACACACAGAGAGAGAGAGAGAGAGGGGGAGAGAGAGAGAGTAAAACCCATGAGAATAATATTTTCACGGTTCTGACTCTGTTCTTACACAACATAATGTCAACTAGATCTCATCTTTTCACCATTGTCAAATGATGCTTGTCATCTATCACATGCCATGAACAGCATGGGCTAAACTTCGATCTCCCATTCCTGCATGTTAATACTATTGAAGATGTATATAGTACAGATCTAAGTGGTTACTGTTCGTGACGTGCAGTGACGGATGAGGTGGGTTCTTGCACTTGCTCACGTATCCCTACCGTCTTACTGGGAAATACTGGGAAGAAATTACCACGCAAAACTTGCACCGGGAAGTAACAGAGACATTTTCCTCTTGGACTAAATGTTGATGATCAAAAGTGAACAATTTGGGAAGCCAAGAAGCCACTCTCAAACAATTTTACTTAAAGTATCATCATTTAGCGAGATGTTATGATTAGAGAAGTGACTGACAGCCTTTGTTATTAAAATATCATTTAATAAGATAATATAATATATTTATTTTAAGTCACCTGGTCATTGCAATCTGTGTTGACGATCTCACCTCCCTGGGGAGGATGCGACTAATTTGAATCAGCCCATGAAACAATAAACTTTAGTACATATTTTCTCTTGACGTTCAACACTGTGAACAGCAAACAAATTATTTTAAACACAGCTGTAAACAACACTCGGTTCCGGCTCAAAAGCTCGCCAAGGTCTAAGTATTTTTTTCAAAATGAAAGTGTATTTTCTTATGGTTCATTCCTCACCTATGTTTATATTCATAACTTTTTAATTCCCAGTTATTCGAGATTTTTTTTTTTTTTTTTTTTTTTTTGCGCAAATTTAATCCATATATTCATCATAAAGTCTTGTTATATTACCCAAATACATGCCTACCAAGTAAATGGGAGTGTCAGGAGAGTGAAGGACTTTCGCCTTATCACAACTGACCTACTAATCCTTATTTGATGGCAGTGCGGTTACATATATTCTTACCAAAACAAGTGCGTAGTGAGTAAACTAGTAGCACGGCACAGTAGCATTTGCTAGTTGATTCTTTTCTCTTGTCAGTATGAAAAGCTATCCGATTCTAATTACCTCTCCTGTTCCCGAGCTTGGAACAGGGTACATTACTTGCTGTCCTGCAACCCAAAGATCCCACTACTATCTCGTCACTGTCTCGTAACTACAACTGTAGTCCTATCTATTCTGGTTTCATTGGTTGTAAACTGCCAATGTTGATATACATGCATGCTTTATCCTATAATTTAGTAACACAACATGAGTAAACGACCGGCAGTTTGGTTAACCAAAGCCATGTGGGCCACCTGATTATGTACACTTACAAATCATCGGTTTAGTAGACGTATTTAATCTCTAGTTACAGTGTCTGTTGAAATTTTATCTCTATAACCAGTGGCAGTGTTAGCTTTGACGAAAAATATAGTCATAGATAGATTTAGTTTTAAGGCTCCTCCGTCAAATATTGGAGGTGACGTTATCCAGTGTGTGTGGGCACCATCTGGTTTTGATGAAGACGGAAAACATGTGAAAGAGTGGGTATAGGAGTTTGAGTTCTCAATAAGGATGCTGTTCACTTCGATTACAATGGACCATTTGCCAAAAAATCTTACCAGGATTGTCTCACTGCGAATTGGGTATGTTGTTATGTAGATGTATAAATTGCGTGTTCATTGGCTTCTTGAAATAAGCACTCTTTTTAAAATCATGCCGCTTTCTATGAGAAGTAATGTCCTAGTCCTACAACGTGAAAAGACGTGCAAATAACCCTGCGTCAAACCCGAGAACAAGAAAAGATGATGGAAATAAAATGACGTCTTACCTGCTATACTTTCTAGCTTTTAGTCCTCGTCTTGTGTCTTGAAAAGACTCCAATGCATTACACCAGCTTAATACGTCCAGATAAACACCATGAAGCCAGTGTGAATACAATAACCCCGATCTCATGAAGTTAAACAAAACACTTGATATCGACGGTGACTTCACTGTCTCGGGCTTAGAGGGTTACCTGCTACGGTTATCTTTACTTGACACTAAGTTAACTTTACTTGACACTACATTTGAACACCAGACACGCCGAATAGGAGAGAAAGGAACAGTCGTACCCCTTTTATGACGCATCCTACATCACTCCGAGGCATGAAATGTCCCATTTACTTTAAGGGAGCGAACAAGGAAAGGTCTTTTAATCATCTCGTGATGTAATGCTTTTCGGTAACATGCCTTTCTTTTGACTTATACATTTTAGACCCACGTCTTAGAGTTAATCTTTTTCACATAAATAATGCTTTTAGTGCTTTTATTTTAAGTAGCTAGGATAGTATTTAAAGGTGAACATAAACGGTTGAGGTTTACCTCCGGTTGATTATGATCTGTTTTCTTTCATTCTACATCCAAGAACTGCAAACATCGACTGCCTTCACCTTTTTCATGGAGCAGAACTTCACCTGTGTCCTCTTTTTCATTTTAGAAATTCTCAATTTGATCACGTTCATTTCGGGAAATTTTTATTGCAAACACTTGCGCAACAACAGGAAAATACTGATATATTTCAGAGAAGTAATGTTATAGTACATAACCTCATTTCTATGTCTGTGGTAAGATGTTAATTAGTACAAAACGTGTACAGAAGCCTTGCAGATGGAGCACTTTATGCACATTTAGCTACATATTCTACTAAACAGCATCCCTAAAATTAAACTGTTGTGAGAATTGAAAAAGACAAGGGTACGGAGCTTTGTTAGTATCATATTAACTTTTTTCTATTTTCATTTAAGTTTTATTTTATGGAATTTTCACCGCGGTGAAAATAATTTACACCGCGGTGGGAATTAATTTTCACCACGGTGTAAAATAATTTTCACCGCGGTGGTAATTCCTGGCCATCTCGGCCCGGGTGATGAATAGGTAATGAGAACCTTACATTTGCCAGATTCCGTCACGGTGCATGCTATTGTTACATACACACAAGGGTGGTGGATCTGTTCGTGGGGTCACTGCCCTTAACCTAAGTTTCCCATCTATATTTACCACCTATATAATTAAAGTCCCGCTTGCAGTTTTATGCAAAGGGAATCCCATTGTTATTACTAAATACTTAACGTTATTTTTGGACAATGTATTTTTAAATATTTTTTGTGATGTGTTTCTTAGGTCTTATCTTAATAGATTTCTTCGGAAAGGTTTCTTTCTACCAATATTCCCAATAATACGCAAGTTATTATAAAGGGAAAAGCCACGTACAACATTGCAGCATTTCGGTGAATTTAATCTATTCGAATACTGTCCGCATCCTCCAGATTCCTGGGATGATTGGCACATAGACGGTTAATCCGCGTGCATGTGCTTGTCTTTATCAACGTCCTTTCCAGACATCTGGTAAATGTTGGATTCGTATAACCTACATGTATGCATTACCCGGGCCGAGATGGCCAGGAATTACCACCGAGGTGAAAATTATTTTCCACCCCGGTGTAAATTATTTTCCACCGCGGTGTAAATTATTTTTCACCACGGTGAAAATAATTTTCACCGCAGTAGAAATAATTTTCACCGCGGTGAAAATTCCATAACATAAAACTTTAATGAAAATAAAAAAAAGTTAATATGATACTAACAAAGCTCCGTACAAGGGACACGTGCCTACATGCGCGTCCAATGCGGTTAGCAGACTAGCAATTGTTTTTACTTTAAGAAGGAAGCAGTTTTAATAGCTGTAGGAATACTAGTACATTTCCCTATAGGGGCCTACCTGGATATCAAAATGGCAAATATCATTCTGATTAAAAAACCAAAAGTATAGATCATCAAATAAATAATTGAGCTGGCTCATATATATATATATATATATATATATATATATATATATATATATATATCAAAAATTAGAGAAAAACCTGTTTTTACGTTTTAATTTATCAAAAAGCAGTTTTATCCGTAAAAGGACCAATTCAAAGATGCGAATGAATGAGAAAACAAATACTGATTTTGTTCTTAGAGTCCATAAGAGCTTCGAAATTGCGGAAGTTTGATGATTAAGCAGGTTCTTTCATAAAAGGAAATGCCACATAAAATGGTCATTATGTCGTTCTCGTTATGTTTTTTAGAGACCGATATCAGCCAATACACAGATTCATCATGTCAACGTATCAATTCAACTTAGTATTTTAAACGCTTTATATACGAAGTGTTCAATAAATCAAAAATTTTTAATGTCACAGAAAGCTTCTCGCAAAATCTAGCACTGAACTTCAATCTTTTCTGGAATTGTTGAACCTGTTATCTCATTTTTCATTTTTTTTCTTCAACTGGGCTCAAGACGTAAGTAGCTTGTGTAAACGAATAGGTAATGAAAATGAATGATGTCTGAAGACTGTTTTATTTTTTCAAGTCAGAATAACCCGTTTAGATGTTACATAACCCGTGCTCACTCGTTATGAATAATGCAACTTCTGAAACCACGGCATTTGCTACATGTGTCATGCCAAAATAGTTACCGGTACGTCAACCTAAATATAGAGATGTGCCTGGTGAAAAGCAGTAACGTTTGAATTTGTTCAGCATTTTAAATTAAAAAAAAAAAAAAACATATTTGATAATATAAATGAATCTAAAAATATGAACCTGCAATAGATTGTTTTTTTTTTAATTATTTTTTTTAATGAATCATTACATGTTTTATTGTCTGAGAATTCTGTCGGTATCCCAATTTAGTTGACTCATAATATGAGTTCAACAGTTGGTAAATATATTCCTACTTAAGATACACACCCAATAAATAAATAGATAAATAAATAAATAAATAAATAAATAAATAAATAAATGAAATGTCGCACATAATAGAGCATTTTTATTATAACAGAGAGATATGGTTTCATTTTGGTATATCAAATACGGGCCTTTGTTGACAACATACACATGTATTAGGCCTACAAATGTCCATTATTTGAAAATTTTAAACAGATTTATGAACGTAAGATACTTTTTTCCATTTTGCGTATAATCAATCAGGACCTGATGCATGCTTCATGAATCATCAAACCAGCAAACGCTATCATGCCAGACGTAGGGAGGCATTTCGATATTTGCCTTTTATTTTGTTCTCGTGATAAACATTTCTGCAGCGTAAGGCTATAAATTTGTGAGAACGTAGAGCCTGTGCAACTTTATGGTGTTAGAATGTCTCTTTGATTAAGAAAGATGTTATAAATAACCTCAACCTAGATATTTAGAATCACACCAGTTTTCACATCTAACGCACTTAGGTATCTTTCCTGTTTCCAAGTTGCATATAGGCCTACTGAGTCTAACTGGTCGCAAGATAAATAGCCTACATTAAAAAGTACTGGTCTTCGTTGTTTGAATCTGCCCTTTCCCTTAAACCATGGGCAGAATCTTTGAAAGACACCGATGCGGGGAATGATTTTTTAAATTTTAAGACAACTCAGGTTAAGAATGCAGCCCTACCAGGACCGCAGATTGGGCCTAATTATGTGCACTTCTCTCTGATAGATAGATAATCTAGACAATCCATAAGATAAGATAGATAAGTAGATAAATAAATAAGCCAGAGATATATCTGTGAAAATCGAGTGAAAATCAATCTGTGACCCTGGTAGAGGGCATATATAGGCCTAAGGAACGGGGCCTTCGAAAGCGCGAGACGCGAACATCATGATAGCCTACGGCTGATGATCTGCCTATAATTCTATAGGTTTCATATGACTTTTATCTGTCCTTTAAAATTTCCTTGTTGCTAGTTTTGGTTGTTCTTCCTTTTTTTTTCTTGATAGACCTATTGTTGATTGCGGCAATACGCCCTCTATGCTACAGTGGTCTGGCATCTTGTCTACACAGGGGTCTACATGGGATACCACTATATACCGAAATACTACGAAATTCTGCGTTTTTTTTTATTCTGCACCCCAAATTAAATTTGTCTTGAACTCAACACAACACATGTAGGTTTATTTAGCCTTTAAAGCACTCCTACTTATTGGACTTAAATGCATGCACTTGTTCTTTAAAAGATTGCCTCAAATGCAAATTTACTCGATGGACTTACTGCTGTCATCTTTTTTTATTGTCTGATATGCCTACAGCACGAAAAATCGTGCGTGAGTGTTATATAAATAGGTAGTCTACCGGTAGGCTGTATATATAAAAACATAAATAAAAGAGCTAACGCATAATTTTCGTGCTAACATCGACGTTATCAAATGCAATAGGGTCTACTTCTTACTGATTTAAACGTGAAATTAACATTTTATCTGAATCAACAAATGTTAGATTATTATGATTTGTCCCCCTTAAATATTACAGGCAAGTTTGCTCTTCAATGAAAATAATGGGAAATTGGAAATGACAATACACACACTACAATAGAAGTATCACCCCCTGAATCACTTTAGTCAGTCTCTATACACAATTTTCTATTTCGATTCTGATAACAAAAGCTATTTGTATCATTATTGTGAGGGAGGAAATATTTTGATATTGATAGAGGTGTGGGAATGTTTACTGGGAAACAAAAACTTACGTCAACCGTTCACGCCACTGTGACTCATGTCACTCTTCTAACTTTGGAGGTAGATTTAATTTCTGACGTCATTCAGGAAGAAAGCGAACAGCGAGATGGCAGGGCGCAGAGGCAAAGGTTCCAACCCTTTTGATAGTGACGATGAAGACGATCCATGGGGGTCAGGTAGTTCATCAAGAACGTCAAACAGCTATGGAGATGGAAACCGAGGTCCCAGTGACGCTGATTCCAGACGAGAATGGCTTATGCAACAAAAACTGGCAGCACAAGAGAGAACATTGGAAAGCACACAGAGGAGTATGGCCAGCTTGTACGAGTCGGAAAGAATGGGCATAGATACGGCTGAAGTGGGTATTTACTTATGTATAGGTCTTGACACTGAATAAAACATGATTTGTGTCACTCTTCTGAATAAACACTGAAATGGATGTTAGTAGTATTAGTTGGTTAGTGTTAACAGATTAAACCGGTGGTTGTGATACCTTGGTAAATTGTTTCTGAAAGGGGGTGGGACAGTCAGTGAGTTGAAAAAAGTCATTGTTAAGTCCAGAATATCATAGTTTCATGTTCTCAACATTTCTGAGTGTGCTTTTAAATCCTATTACATATGGCACAATTATCATAATAACTGCTATATTTTAATTTTTGTATCACTTTACAAATATAAACATATTATTAGTGCAAGGGGTCAAACAGATAACACTGACTATACATAATCATAGCTCCCAATGTATTCTAATTTCCTGCCATTGCCCTCTGTCAGTTTGAAGTACATGTCACACAAATGGGATAATTTTGAATGAGGAAAATAATATTCCACACAAAAATGAACATTTGACTCGTGCCAGTTATGCACTCAGTCTATATAATATTTATGAAATATTTGTATAATATTTGGAAACACTTTTAATTACATTTGATTTCTTTCTAAAGTGCAGGATACTAGTGCATAAAACAAAGAAAATATTGTGCAGAATTATATGTTACAAAAAACATCTATTTACATAAATTGATTGAGACTGACCGACTCAAATGTCTACTTCTTTTTGTGAAATACCCTGCTATTTCATTTAAGACTTTATTATACTTTATTATATTTTGTTGTTAAAGTGAAACTAATCTGATGCAGAAGTATAAAATATCTTTTGATTTCATTTCAGGTAGTTATAAAAATTATAAAAAGCTTTGGTTTTCTGTTTGAAGCGCTTTGAAAGGTTCTGGTTTACATGGATTTTTATTTCTTTCAGGAACTTGTTCGACAGGGAGAACAACTCGACAATATTGAAACTAAAGTAGCAAGAATAAATCAAGACACTAAAACTTCCCAAAAACACTTAAACAATATCAAAAGTATTTTTGGTGGTATAAAGAACTGGTTTTCTAAAGACAAAGAGCCACCAGCAACAATACCAGAAAGAGAACCAAGTTCTTTGCAGACTTGGGTTGAGGGTCAGTCAGGTCGGGACGACCTCCAAGAGAGAGATCATAATCCAGATAATCACCCTGCCATGAGAATAAGGAACTCTGAGGGCCGTGGGGCAGTAGGGGGTACAGGGAGAGGTCAGACACAAGCCTATGGTGGGAAGAGGGATGCCTATGATGAGCAAGTGGATAAAAATTTGGGTAAAAAGATCTCTGGACAATTTTTCTGATAATTTGAAAGTTATAACACTGTTCCAGGATAACAGTCTTTGAGAGTCTTTTTTTTCATGAAATAAGAATAGAATTTATTCAGTTCCTTGACATTTTAGAAATGTGTACACTTTTGTTGACCAAGTTTCTGTGTAAAGAGGATGTAAGTTACTGCTCATCAGAAAACGTGATATGATCAAAATTAATTAGGTAGACTAAAACTATGTAAAAAAAATTGCATTTTAGAAATTTAATTTAGTTTCAACAGAATAACTGTGTTGATTTCTTCTCTTTTGCAGATGAAATGTCAGGGGTGCTGTCCCGACTGCAGTTCTTGGGAAAAGGACTGGGAACAGAAATTGATCGTCAAAATGAACAGATTGACAGAATTGACTTAGCAACTGAAAAAGCAACAACCAATGTGGATGACCAGAACAAACAAATGAGGAAAATTCTTTACAAGTAATCCATATTTGACAAAAGTGTAAGAAAGAAAGATAAAGAAGATGTCATCTTTCTTAAACAATTAGTGAGGATCATTATATGAATCTAGGAATACTCTGCCTTAATGAAGAATGTGGGAGTAAAGGATTCTTGACTAAGTTCAGAAATCATTACTGAATTTCATGCTGTGAATGTTATTACTGTATGCAAGTGATATGTACAATACAGGAATGTCCCTTGATTACAAAATAATATAAAATTAAGAACATTTAGGTGCAGCAATAATCTTCCAGAAATTTTGTTTCTTTTCTGGTAGAAACAAATTTCATAGGGATTGCTCAAGAGTAGTGTTAATAGTTAAAAGTAGTAGTATTTTAATCAAGTATTAACAATAGCAGTCACTCAGAAAATCCATTTTGTATAGATCCCATGTATGAAGTACTTGGAGAGAAGTATTGTCTGTACCACTCCATATTTTTGGACTTCTTCTTTTAGCATTATTTACTAAGGCATTCCAACAAGGCTATATTGTATAGGTTTGGACATTTACATTTTTCCGTTTTAAAAATGCAATGCTTTGCTAAGCATTATTTCAGATCTTTCAAACTGGCCTTAAAGAGGTATATATACAAATCATTCTTCCATCAGTCCATTACAAGACCAAGTCATGTGACGCACCACTAGGTTTAGACTTTTGTTGAAAAATCAATGCTAATGCCATCATGCACAGTTTCAACTATTGAATGTTGACTGAAGGAATATGCTGGGCAGAGGAGAATGACCATAGGTTACCTTCAGTTGCAGTATAAAAGTAGAAATGATCTTTTGAAAATAGTATTCACTGGGCTCACACCTGATTTATACTTAAATTGTTACATGTTGCTTTACGGTGTAGATAGAGATTTGTATTTTGTGCAACAGTCATCTTTTTACTGTACACCTTGACACATTTATAACCTTAAAGGGAAGTGTTAAGAGACAATCATTTCAGTAGTGACCTGTATGAAAAATGTAAACTGTTTCTGTGAGTAACAGTGCCTTGAGCATTAAAATGTTGAAATGAGCATTAAAGCCTGTGTAACACTATAACTATTAAACATTTACTCTTTGTGAGCATGTAAGATATTCGGCTGTAATGATAATAATCAAAAATGATATAAGAAATAAATAGATATCACAAGTCCTCAAACACTGGGGTTCACAACTTGTGACCCTGACAGGCCAATTTCAGCCGTTTCTAATTTTGTTGCTGCTCCCGTCTGGTTACAGTGAGGATGTATTGTGTTAACCTTTTCAAATCTCAGTGGCAAGAATTTCTTTGTATTCTGGATGCAATATTGGTGGTCATCCATGTATCAGTTAAATAAATGTTTGATTTTCATAACAAAAATCTTCCATTATTTATTGTTTTATTATAAAATAATCATTTTGAGAATAACTGATCAAAATTCTGGATTAAGTTTGTAATAATTAACAGTTGGTATCATGCATCAAAAGCTCTGATGCTAATAGATTTAAGGCAACTCTCAACAAACTTTTGCACATAGCAACAACTGCAAAATTTAAATCTGCTAATTAAGGGAAGAAAATATTTAAGCATGAAATGTGCAGGCAGCTATATTGTTTATTGGTCAAATAACCTGTTGATGTGCCAACACCACTACATACATTTGCCTGTTCCTGCAGTGCCTATTGTATGTCAGTTCTGTAAACCTTGCATAAAACTTTATCACTTTGAATTAACATGAAAATTACATAGTATCATTAAATAATGTTCAAATTTTGTATTGTAATGATCTTTACAAGAGGTAAATGAATTGCCTACTTAGCTTTCCAGAATAAACAAACATACCTAATGGCCAAAATCTCTAGAGAAAAAAAATTACACTTAATAATTGTAAATCTTTGTTTTACTGCCTGGCCAGGTAATAATATTATATTTGATAGCCAAGCCTGCAGCTCATACTTGCAGTTAACTTCTTTAAGTGGACTCGTAACTAGACAGCCAACCAGCCAATCAGATTGCTGATCCAGTTGTGTAAGGTCTGTGTTTTTATGTCCAATAGCCAAATGGACACTAAATTGAAATCCAATCATTGCATACTTGATAAAATTTATGAATTATTTAATACATGACTGAATTTCAACATAGTATCCAGCTGGCATGTGGCACTTACTGTTAAATTGAGACCATCAGTGCAAGTACAAACTAATGTCAGGTATTTGAATGGTAAATGGTATTTACTAATTTCTAGAGAGGTGAATCTTCCCTGCTTACTCTGAGAGTCTGCATAGTGAACAGTTACTACAGTCAGTTTGCTCACAGTGAGCCGTTCCTGAATGCAGGTGCTTGTATGATAAACTAATCGAGTATCTTTCATTCCAAACACTGTTGTGGAACATTTTTCAAATAAATATATAACTCCATTCAACGCCTCCTCTTAAAAGAACAAAAGTACAATCTCTTAAATAAATTTACAGAAAATAAACCATATCTGTTAATGTTCCTTCATTTCAGAATATATTCTCAATTTATTTCATTTGGAAAATTGTTATTACGAGGCCATTTTAAACACTGACTAATATATTTTTTTTCAGTTGTATTCAGGATGTCACTGAATCTAGAGGGTACAAAATATATAAAACATGCCACTGAAAACAGTTTTCTCTAAATTATCAGGAAAACAAACTGTTCTGCTACAGTTATACAGCCTGGTCAGCCACTGTACAGCATACTTCCTGCTTTCATAAATATAACATATATATACATATATCACATATTAAATATATACAAAATAATATGAAGCAGCTGTACATGTTGCATATTAGTCATTTTAATGATAATACTTAAACTGTTATCAAAGCACCATAAAACAGAGCCAAGTATCAATGCATGCTTACTGGAAGACAGTACAGGCAAAGATGGCCTAATAGCACAAAGAAAAACGTCAGCTGATCAATTTAAAATAAAGAATATCTTACTTCTGATAAAGAATCACTGTACTGTTAAACATTGTGATAGCAAAATATATAATGGCATATTTCATACTCGAATGATTACAGACTGTAAATATTTTCTTGATTTTCCGTATTTACTTCAAAAATAATGCAAAAAAAGTTAATCAACAAAGACAATCTCAGCTCACAAAAAATTCCAATTGTTTAATTTCCCAAATATCAAAATTTTAAAAATAAAGAAGGTTTTGAATTAAGTCAGTTAAAAACTTGTCTCAAAGGAAGGCTTGACTGATAGATCCACTCCACTCTGAGCTAATTTGAGGAAATACAACAAAATTCCAGTCTGCAACATGGCATCTTTGGTCTCCATTGAAAGAAGCTCTAGAGGTGACATTGTAGAATCCCTCACAGCTGGTCGTAACAATGTTGGACCAAACACAGTGGCTAGGTTATGAATTGTCATCTTGTTCACTTCATCTTTCTTGCTCACACTAAAACAAATATTTACAAATCAATTATATGTATGCCATAATATAACCTGCACAATAAATCCTACCAAAGTACCAAAAAGATGGAAAAAAACAAATGGTTTATTTGAGGTGGTTTATAGCAGAAGAGTTGAAAACTGGTATCAATTCAAATATGAGTTTTAAAATCTCATGTTAAAGTATTGTATTAAGAACAGGCAATGGAGTAAAAATTATGTCTGATCAAATATGAGAAAAAATATTGATACTTACGTAATCAGGTGTTTAACGAGGAAGAGGATAGTATTGAGGTTAGACTCTGGCAGTGAAGCCAGTAGTCCCAACATACACTTCTGCTTTCCATCTGGGTCAGTTAAATCTGAAGAGAGATGAATTAATATCATTCCTACATTTAGTTGTTAAACGATTAAAATGAACGTTTTTAATACCAAATTTTAAAATAATACAAAGTAACAATGTATACATCGCGGCAAAAACTTGTAAATGCCATTTTGCAGAATAACAATAAAAAATCTTTGAAAGCAAATATGAAAACTTATCATATTTAAATATTAAAAAAACTGTAAATTTGACAAAAAGAAAAACAAATGCAAGTTTCATGACATGCAGGCAACATCTTTTAGCAACTTACCCAGTCCCTCAACAAAACTTGGATAAAGGCGATCAGTGAACACAGCTTCAGGCAGCTCACGGAAGTATAATTTGAGCACACCTGATACTGCGTGGATGTCAAGTTCACTGACCAACTGACTGCCAGCTTTGCTATCTGAAACCAGATATCACTGAGATAATAAAACCTATTTACTCTCATACTATGGCTGAATATATACAGTCACACAATTCAAAAAGATGCACAAACTGAACAGTAATGCAACACAAGCTGGTGTGGAAAAATGACATAGTAAGTTGGAATTTTCAGGGCACGTTATATTCAGAAACATACAATTTTTACAACTATAAGCATTGCCGCTGATGAAAACTGAAACTTACTTCTTTCAAACGCCTTTTTAAGTGTCTGGACATCGGCAGTTGAGGCAGATACTCGGTAAATTCCCATCTCATCAAGACCTAGAACAAACAGGATATCAGTTTAGCATTAACATAAGACACGTTAACCCTGCAAATATGAAGATTTACATTCACTTTAATAAAACTACAATTCCTACAATATTCATCTCAATTCAATTCTAATTTGGTGAAAGTCAGTTATTTTTCAAAAACAAAATAGTAACTGAAACAGATTTACACTTCAATGATGAGGATAAAATTCATTCAGTTGAACTCAAGGAGTTTTACTGTTAACTTAAAGAATGGATTTTAATACAAAAAGCAGGATACCTACAGGCATTGGTGATTTGCAAAAATAAAATGATTCTTTAAAGTTAAAACAAACACAATTCTTTACCTCTTCTCTCTATTTCTCTACAGCATGCTTCTACTATTAGTGGTAAAGGCCTCTTTTCCCTTCTGCAATTTAAATAAAAAAGTATGTATTTTTTTATTTGCTACATTTATATGCCAAGCTGAAATAGGCAATTCCACATTTATAGAATCACTGCACACTGAAAACATCTTAGTTAAGACTATTTGGCATACACTGCAATAGGGACATTGCAACAGTGTGCTCTCCAAATTGGCACCTGATAGAAGACAAGTTTGGTCAGTTAATATTTATGTTTATCTTCAATGATTGTACTAAAAACGTGTAAAGTAGTTGTATTTGGTTAATAGCAAAGTTAAAAGCTCATCAAAAAGAAGATGCAGTAAAGGAATGTGTACTCACTTGCAGGTATCACTAATTCTTACTCCAAACAGCCCTGTTTTGATTCTGGACACCCTTCTCTTGATGGTGTGTTGTGGCGAAGTGTAGCGAATAGAGACAGTTAAAGACAGTTCATTGGTTGAGTTTATGGAGATTGTCTTCTCTTTAAAGTCTCCTCTTATCAACCAGTCCTTGCTTAGCTGAAAAGATAAAATATCTTTAATTTATGCTTATACAGACATATCTCTACAAAAAAAAAAAAAATAAATAAATTAAAAAAAAAAAAAAAAACAGTTTGGTGGAATACATGGTTGTAATAGTTTGTCAGAATGCAATATATGTCAAATAGAAAAACCATAAGTGATACTCAATACATTATTCAATCTAACAAACAATCATCTTACTGTTAATTCACTGAATAAAATCCAGCAATAATCATATGTGATTAACTGTTATGTGTGTATAAGCGCACACACATCTGATAAAGTTTTACAGGAACTGTAAGAATCTATTATCAACCAGATACCAGTATGAGGTTTTTCCTGCATCTAATTATTCAATAAGGCATCTACCTTTGTGCTGATTTAAAACAATAAAAAAATCCTAATATATGATATTGGAGTTTATATTTCTTGTTGCTCTGTATAAGAGTAGGCAATTTTTTTTCTATTTTGAGGTGAGATAGCAATCGGTATGGAGTGTAACTTCATCCCTGAACAAAATTTTATCATGGAAATTGGTTGACAACAAGTGTATGGGAGTCAATCCTGTGCCACCCTTTTTGTTTAAATGTTTTTGTTATGGAGTTATGAACCCCTTATTACAGACTTTCATTAAACAGGCCTAATTTTGCTTTATCAACGATAAAATCTGAACTAATCCCAATTATTATGTCACCCCTAAGATGACACGAGTGTAAATGCTTATCAATTTACTTACTGGACACTGAAGATTTGTCTTTTATCCAAAAGAATGTATGTAAGGAAGTTAATAAGGAGTTTTTGCAAATGCTTACAGTATCCTTCATACACAAAATGAAAAGATATGTCCACTTACTTCCAATGCACTCTTGCCCAGTAGCTCATCCTCTTGATCTACCTGTCTGTAGCACATGATTCGCAACGTGTGAGAGCCCTCCAAATCTATCTCAAATGTCTGGAAAACAACTTTCTAAGATGATATTTCTAGTTCAGACATTGACCCACAAAGGTCAACAATAAGTGTGGAAAAATATACATGTGTCACGTGATAATCCACTCAAGTTAGGAAAAAACTTAAATCGCATTCACAACGAGTTGAGCCAGGCTTTACAAATCCTGGGGACTAAATATGGCAGACGTACATGAAAGAAAAACCGCCTAATCTTTTAATAGTCTCTCTGCCTCTCACACGCCTCCCCATGTGTTGTCCCAATGGAGCCGAGATTTAATGACTGTCCCCCCGCAGGGACGACATGTGGGGAGGCGTGTTAGAGGCGGAGAGACTGTTAAAAGATTAGGCGGTTTTTCTTTATGTACGATNAGTATCCTTCATACACAAAATGAAAAGATATGTCCACTTACTTCCAATGCACTCTTGCCCAGTAGCTCATCCTCTTGATCTACCTGTCTGTAGCACATGATTCGCAACGTGTGAGAGCCCTCCAAATCTATCTCAAATGTCTGGAAAACAACTTTCTAAGATGATATTTCTAGTTCAGACATTGACCCACAAAGGTCAACAATAAGTGTGGAAAAATATACATGTGTCACGTGATAATCCACTCAAGTTAGGAAAAAACTTAAATCGCATTCACAACGAGTTGAGCCAGGCTTTACAAATCCTGGGGACTAAATATGGCAGACGTACATGAAAGAAAAACCGCCTAATCTTTTAATAGTCTCTCTGCCTCTCACACGCCTCCCCATGTGTTGTCCCAATGGAGCCGAGATTTAATGACTGTCCCCCCGCAGGGACGACATGTGGGGAGGCGTGTTAGAGGCGGAGAGACTGTTAAAAGATTAGGCGGTTTTTCTTTAATGTACGATCGCCATATTTAGTCCCCAGGATTTGTAAAGCTTGACTCAACTCATTGTGAATGCGATCTTAGTAATTATCATAAATAATTTATATCTTTCTAGAAATGCAGTTCAGAATTTTGGCAAAAGTCAACAAATGTGACATGTTTGTAAAATTTGTGTACATAGTTTAGAACAGCAATTTTAAAATAAAAACTTACCTGATTCCACTCAGGCTCCATGGAGCTGTTGCAAGTGTTAGTTTTAGCGATGGGATAAAAGTGGCCAAAAGTATCGACCTCCATTGAACAGAATGTGTCTGAAATGGCAAAATTAACTTTATTTTAACAGAGTAATAGCAGGACTGACATGTGCATTTTCAAAATCATATAACCTGTCTCAAATGAAACTTAAATAAATCAAAATGGAATGACGGATTGCATTGCACCATTCATACAACACAATTTATATTTAACCTAAATGTTAACTCCAGTCAAGATTTTTTGTAAAGACATAAAAAATAGAATGCTTTGTTCCAAGTAGGAGCCAAAGCAGGCATGAAATCATACCTGTGCCTGGAATCAAGCATCAGTGATTAATTTGCATTTTAATACAATAACTGTTTGTTGAATTCCAGTTTAATACAAGAACCATTGTACACCTACCACTTAGCCCATGTAGTCCCTGAAGCCTGTGAATTGTTACTGTCAGGCTTCCACTTATGACTTCATCTTCCATATCTGAAGAAAGAATTCAAAACAAACAAAATGAAACTATTTATATGGACTTGATTATTTTATACAAGTTTCTCATGTTCACTGAGGTTAATCATAACTATAAAAAACAAAAAATTGAAGATACAGAAACATACCTTCTTGCAACATAGCCTGACTTGCATTATTCAACTTGGGAAGCTGCAATGCAAGAAAAATACTGACATTACAAATCTGAAATAGTTTTAAATGCCATTAATTTGATAAGGAAATCTATGCACCTGGAGGAACTAAAAGGTCTTAGAGATTGTATGGGTATTGATAATAAACTATCAAAACCTAGAAAATATTTTTAATTAGAGCTATTTTTTCTTATTACAGGAAAAACCATCTGAAAATTTTGACATAAAAAGGTTGGCATGAGTTTTTAATTAAATCATAAAACGTAACACCTTAACTGCTACTTCTTACCTGTCTTGTTGATTCTAACAAAGCCTGTATGTTGTTTTCACTAAGGTCTAATGTCACAATACCTAAAATACATAAAAGTAAGTAATTCACAGTTCTAGCTACTGTTCCTTGGGACAGCAGACTAAAAGAAATTTTTAAGTAAGTAATTTTTAAGAAATTCCTAATGAATTTTTGTCCAATGCTATGGGTGATAATTTTTCTGGAGAAAATGGGAAACGACAGATTGGTTTTCACCAAACCGTTAATTATTTTGTGAAAAAAGTTTTTCCCTTAAAAGGCCAATGTTCCAAGGGCATTTTATCAGAATAGCATATTTCTAGCTGGATCTGAAATTTTAAGATGATAAAATGTAATTTGTACACAAGGTCTGAATCTCATTTACTACTAGTTACTGAGCAATACCTCTGGTATACTGGTAGATTAACCAGAATGGCTCATTACCTGCTTTGGCTTTATGGCACAGAATGGCTTCCTTCCACTCATCTCTCTCATAATCAGAAGACATTAGGAATGTGTAGGTCTTTTTCTTGTGCTGGAGACACAATGGTAATGTGGGTGCCGCAAGGACCAAGGCAGCTTCCTAGGAAAATGCCAAAAATCTGACTGAACTTAGGTGCTTTTACTTTAGTAGCCTTTTTAATGTGAGAACATAGTTTAAAATTTATGTAACGGTTAATCTTAAGGCAAAAAATATAATCAACAAATATACAGAAAATATTTGTGAATTTAAAACACTGCAGTCTCTTCTGAATTATTTTGCCACAATTCTTACCTGCTCGGCAAGCTTTTTCTTGAGTTTCTCGACTTGTCTTATATTTCCTCTGAAAGACCAACTTCTTTGTGCCTGAAAGAAACAAATCAATTGCCATTAACAAATCAATTGTTATTAAACATACATTCTTTAGCCATTATTTTCCCCTCTGCGACACATTTTTGCTTTCATGTTATTAAACTTACATTCTTTAGCCATTATTTTCCCCTCCGCAACACGTTTTTGCATTCATGTCACTTTGGTCATTTCTATCCCTAAATATTTTTTCATAATGTAGACACTGTACATTTATTTCTTTTTCATGGAATATTGAGAAACACAGGGGAAATTATGTCATGAAGTTTTCCTTTTACCTTATTACAATCACTTTGTTTCATTTATGTAGGACTTTTACTTGGTTGTGTACCATGGTTATGCCTGACCCCAAGTTTCAGCAATTTTAGTTATCAGGAAGACTCAACATTTAACTAAACTCTGAATTTTTTTTCCATAAAGAATTCTTATTCTTCCATTGAAGAGGAACAAAAACAAAGTCAATTCAGCATAACAAAGGAAACTGCAACCTGGTTTGTATTGTGCAAATAAGTCAGATGACGTAGTCAGGAGATTTTTACAGCAGTTACATGCTGCTGTTATCACCTTTTGATTGCCTCTTTATTGCCTGACAAATATCATATCCACTTATTCCAAATTTAATTACATTTACTTCATGTCACACTGAGTATTAAGTCTACAGGCACCAAGGTGAACAAAGCACTTGAGGCATTGTCTTTAACTAACACAACAAAGGCAAAACATATATAATACAATTTGAATAAATAAAAGTAATCAAAGCTTTAATCAGTCATGGGTCACACACTTCTATTGATGACTGAAAGACAATATTTCTACATATTTAGGTCAGGCTAAATTCAATTTTGGTACCACGATTTTATTATTTTATTACATCCACATTATGTGGACCACATATGGGCCATAGTCCTTAAATAGGGACATTCCAGTAATAAGGAAACCATAACTCACATCTTTCTCTAAAGAACCCCTTTTAATTTCCTTCCTGAGATCTTTCTTCAGGCCTTTCACTTTGTCTTTCATCATTTCCACAGATTTGTTGTCATGTGATTGCTTTTCAGCTAAAATGAAATTAAACAAAATTAAGAAATCAATTAAACAATTTCTTGGCTAAAAAACAAAGCACTTTCTAAATGGTTATTTTATTTGAATATAGAAATATTTCTTATCTGTTATTAAATTAAATTCTTGTTTATATCTTTAGCACAGAATATTTTTAAACAGTTTACCCTCCCATGATTTTTATTAATCAGTACTAATATCTCTTACCTTCATCCATCTTCATTGCTAGTTTGAGCTCAGATAGAGGGATAAACCACTTTGGTTCAAAGTGATAACGACTCCTGAAATGTACAAGACCTTCTATCAGCTTTGGAAATTTATCATTTTAAAATTGTGTTCTCTTTTCTTTACAGTTCATTCCAATTCTTTTATCAAAAGAAAAATGCAAATACTTGTGCTAAATAATTTTATTTGCCATGCATTAATATCAAAAGAATTTAGACTCGTTGTATATTGACCTTTATATCAAATAATAACATGGCAACTGACAAAATGAACCTAGGTTCTATTGGAATACTTATGGTGTTACAATGTCTCCTATTCAGAGGTTACTTTTTTGCTGAACAATACAACATGATCTTATATATATATATATGACTAACTTACCTGGCTCCGAGCTTCTGTTTGGCACACACAAGAACATCATTAAACAGCATTAGATGTCTCATTTTTCTGTCATTGTGAACTTTTTCCACAACAAGCCCATTTTTCACCAGGAATCTTTGGTTCTCCATCTTATCTTTTTCATTCTCCATGGGGTCCTCATTTTCCAAGAAATATTGTGTAAGCTTCAAAGCTTTCTGTAGGATCATCAAATCAGGATGGGAAGGCGGCGTACAGTGGATTAGGTCCTGGTAAAAAATCACAGATATAAAATATCTTCTTACACTACAAATGTTTCTATTAACACTTTGTGAAATATACATTATTTGTTAAGAGATAAACATGTTATCTAAAATCATATCATAATGTACGATACACCCATAAATCCATTTATCTACCAAAGCATCCAGACATGGTGACATCACTTAAACACTTAATTGATTTTCATCAGTCAAAGCTTTGTTTATATTGTCACCATTCTACCTCATAAATAGTGATATTAGTATGTCAGCATGCTGCTAGGATGCAGAGTAGCCTGCATATATATAAATATACATACATGTAGCACCAGTGTGTTTCTCTGGAGTCTATTCACTGGTTTGAATAGCAAGTCTCCAAGGGATACTTTTTCTTTCTGTTGTTTAGTTTTAATTAGCTGGAAAAATAGTATCAGATAAAGTAGATTTGAAAATAGTGTCTAATCACACAGGATTGCATATTCCTGATCAATGCAAATAGTTTACATAAAATGATTACTTCATACAAAAAGGAAGCAATAAACTGTAAAATTTGTATCTAGAAAAAAGTACCTTTCATCAATTAATCTCCAAACTTCTTGTTAACTATAAAAAAAGCATATTCTCATGCCTCACCTTAGCCAGTTCTCCAAACTGCACATTTTCCTGGCAGCACCTGTTCAGAGTGGAGACAGCTTTCTGGTAGTTCTGGACATAATGTCCAGTGATGGGGAGATAAGTGGCCTAAAAAACAAGAGCATTCAGAAATTATGTCCTTAATTATTGAAACTCAGGCCAGTATGCAGAATGCCTTCTTATCACCACTTATATTCTAACTTGTGTAATAGAAACAGGTGTAATGAGAACTTTGTCACTTGAATTTTAACTTTCACCTGGTATCTTAACTTCCAAGAACAGGGTTCAAAAACATACTGTGATCTTGACTTAAATTCTACATACAAATTTATAATGTAAAACTAGAATTCACCAACTGAAACATAATGACTAATTGACCAAACAATGACCAAGAAGTCAGTACAATCCATGAACCATCAAACCTCAAACTTACCGCCTCCTTAAAAATATCCCCAACACATGAGTCTGGTGTCCATGTTTCAACCACAGGTTTCAGTTGGTTCACAAAATCCTGATGTGTTTTAAGTATTTCAGGTAGGTTTTGAAAAATGGCATTGATGTCTTCTAGAGAAATAACTGGTTGGGATGATTTTGCAGCCATTGTCAAGCTCTTCATATACTGAAGAGAAGAAAAGAAAAAAGCTCATTATAAAAACAAACCCTTCACTTATGAGACACAGCCATGAAAAAAATCTATTTAAAATATATTGCAGTATATAGAGGAGTGAAATGTACAAATTTGGGTCCACATTTGTCCAAAGATCTGTTTGTGGTACACACTTAAGCAGGACAGCTTGTTTCTGTTCATCAAGTTGTGTGAAACTGATCCACATATATCATTTACATCTTCTTTATTTCAATAAAGAACTGAAGAACACAAGCCATGATGATCTCCTTTGGTGTGTTCAAATTAAGTTTATTTACCTGCACCAGAACTTCCAGACATTCCACATACTCTGTCTCACTGTCCAATATCCCCGTCACTACCCATTTTCTGATCCTCTGTTTCTCATGGTCTGCTGGAGAATTTATCTCAAACTAAAACATAACAAATTCTCCAATTAAAATGTTAAATCATTGCAGAAAGTTATATATTTCCTCTATTTTTGTTAATATGCCTGGTATTTATAGAATTCTCAGTGACTTCATTAGTATATTTTTTTAAATTCACAAAATAACTGCCAAATGTTGTTTTCCTCTGTCTAACACCAAATTTACTTGATGTAGATTTATCTGTCCAGTGTTCATACCAAAAAATGTTATTTCAAATTTTTGGGGTTTTTACAAATGACTTGATGACTAGAGCCTTATGATTCTATTTCCTGTTTTAAAAAGTAAAAAAAATCAGATTGGCAAAATCAGTGAATAAGGAAGAAAACTCTCATGATAGTCTGTACTTTTTTCAAATTTTGTTATAAGGGCAGTGTTATATTATTTAATTAATTGGCATTGTATTTCTTAACTTCATTGAAAAAATATTCTCTACATTAATTGGGTGATGTTACAGCTCTCAACACAAAATTAAGTGTAGGAAAAACTTACAATTTGAGCAAAATGTATTAAAAAATCTGCAACAGTAAAAATGCACTGTTTTGCAGCAAAAGTCTCAAAAATTCTGTCAGATGACTAATAAATTTCAAACTCTTGCTTTAGTATTAATGTAGGACTGGCCATTTTACAAACTTGTCACTATATTTTTAGTCACTCTACAGCACCATCATAATGACCCATCACCTCCTAGGGAGAGCAGTTTTCAATTATGAAGCTGTCCTTACTTTCAAATTCAAAGCCAAGGTATTAGAAGTAAGAGTCGCAGATAAATAAGCTTGATAAGCATTCTATGTTGCATAGCTAATAGCGATACAGGTAGCTAATTAATATAAAGCAATTATGCCATGATCATGAAGAAAACAGAAGCCCCAGCTTTGTCTGCCTGGATACTTGCCAGGTGAAAATCTCTCAAGTATGCAGCAACTGCTGGTGCCCAACAAACTGGTCAGAAATTTATCTCACAGTTTCTTAAAACAATAAGGTTCTGTTTGTTGTTGTAAATTTGGATTTACACATACTTGTGAGAGTCTCCTTTTACAAGTAAAAAACAAGCGGGAAGCAGTTAGAAATGAGGAAGTGCTGATATAAGCAGGAATTGAAAACAACATGAGCTATGTGTTATATAAATATAAACATAATATTTATGTAGAATGTATTAAAATGAGGTTATGCACATATCTTTTTAGACACTTCTATAAAGCTTTTAAATGTGTACATGAAAGGGTGAATTTGCTTTAATATATAACTAAGTGTTTTGTTACTTGCAGGTTTTCTAGGTTACTAGGTTTTCAAAAGTTGTTTTTGTATGTCTACATTATAACACATCTCACAGGAAAAAAAGCTGGAAAAACAGCCAGAAATGCAAGTCACACTCTACATTTAAGAACCTCTATGTGATATCCATACTGGCTTAGGAGGGAGCAAGCCAAGCAAAACAAGCAGTTTACATATTTAATAACATCATTTTTGCTTATGGTTACATTAACACTCATCAATATAATATAAAAATATAAATAGAAATGTATAGTACTCATGATTTTGTACGATGACACAAACAAACATATGCTAGCAGAGATAAAAGCAATTAGGCCATGAACTAAAAAATAGTTGTTTCTCAGAATGACCCTATGCTATCTGGATATTAATTTAGACTTTCAACTCACATAAAGGTTTTAAAAAGTAGGGAAAAAATAACACACCAAATATGACAAAACAAAAACATAACATTCCAAAACAATAACAAACATGCACTCTTTATGGAGTTGATTTCCGAAAATGTGAGAGACAACTATTTCCTGTTTCAAAGCCTTACCACAGACGCCCGTGGACGGTTGGTTTTGGCAAATGATTCATTGGGAGACTGCGGCAAAGTATCAGAGATAGAGCGTCGCACAGGGGATTTGTCAGGTACTGCAGGTGATGCTGTAGATGGCAGCGGATGATTAAAACCTGACGGTTTCAACGGCTTCCTATTGCCGTATGCTATGTGGGTTAACACATGGTGACCCGTTCTTCTTTTGCCCACCTCATAAGGAGAGTTATCAGAGTCCACTGACAGACAGGCATCATCTGAGTCCAGTCATGGAAATATAAATGAGACACACATAGAAATAAGTATGTTCTAAATATACATAAAAGATGAGGATTTAGTAGCCACCATGGTGTGTGTGTATGTGTGTTTGATTGTGTGTGTGCGTGCACATGCATTTGCACATTTTCAGGTGTTTTTTCCTAGAAATGCAAAACCCTCACATCACAAGAAGTGTTTAGTAGGATATGGGAGACTTTCAATCAAAATGAAACTTGTATGGACATCAAGGTATGTGTGTTTGATTGTGTGTGTGCGCGCACATGCATTTGCACATTTTCAGGTGTTTTTTCCTAGAAATGCAAAACCCTCACGTCACAAGAAGTGTTTAGTAGGATATGGGAGACTTTCAATCAAAATGAAACTTGTATGGACATCAAGGTTGATGCATTGTTAATTAATGTGTTAATGTGCAACTTAAAGGGATAACAAAATAATAAATTGCATTTTACTAAAACAGTAGTTATTGCAATTATTCAGGAATATGTGCATGTCATAAGACCATGTGGACCTTCATAAATGGCTATATCTCTGCAGTAATCTCCTAAGAGATTATTACAAAAAAAAAAAAAAAAGCCATGCCACACTTGGAATGTCCGAATGGATTCATTAATTGTATGGAACAATTGTCATTTGCCCCAGGAAAATCCGTTTTTTTTTTTTTTTTTTTTTTTTTGACAAAATGTTTAGCTGTTATCCCTTAAAAGAAAGTTTCTTCTTGTTTAAAAACATCTTCACAAAAATATTTTTACTAGTTTATCAGAATATATCATACTAAATGATAAATCAATATCTTGGCAATATATTTTTAATAACTTAAACAACATTAATTGCAATAGTTATTTTAACCTTAGCAGGGACACTTACAGTGTTATAAAAGAAATGTAATAAGACTGCCAACTAAACCTTATGATTCTAAATGTACACCAGATACAAAACACACGAATCTATGTCAAGACCTGGGATAATGACACAGCACGCAGAAATATGCACAATAATTCCTTCGTGCAACACAAAACTCATTTCACCTGACCTACCAGTTTATATAATGTAAATGTTGATGCTATTGATACTCTATCTATTCTTTGTGTGACACAGTATACTGGGATGTGATACTGTGGAATGTCATGCCTAAAGTTTATAACTGTATAGATAGAAACATCTGTGATTTGAACGCAACATACAGTTGCCCAAATATCATTTGTCAGAACGACAACTAAATAATAATAATAATAAATTTATTTTAAATTTAATTTAAATTCTAAAATACATAAAATATTCAATAGACTTAACAATATACATTAGGTAAGTATATAGCACTAACATTTGTATATCAATCTCAAAAAGTAGCAAATAATGTTAATTTTATTATAATCTTCAGTGTATGTGTGTGTGTGTGGGGGGGGGGGTATTCATAATTTTTCAAGTAGTGTTTTTAACCCTCTTAAATTATAACACACAGCTTACAATGAACAGAAATTTAAATGATAAAAAACATTTTAAGTTTATTTTACTCTACAAGCAGGATTTAACTTCCAAGGTTGTTTGCATCAAGAGAAACAGAACAGGTATTGGATAATATATCCAGTTCATCCAGTACCAGGTGCAAAGTCTACATTTGACTATCTAATTAGGTGGCAAGGTGTTTCTGGTCACATCCTTTTCCCTCATAATACTTGTGTGTGTGGTTCCAAGAAAACACAGATCTCTATATATGCGTACATGTATATCATCAGATATCTCATCTGTACTCTTCATTTGAAATCACACCTCTATTTACTGTAGACTGATCAAGCAGGTGCAGTAAACACACACAAATGTAGGTATAGGACAGGGTTAGGTCACCACTTGACAAACAAGGTAGCTTGTAGAGTTATAGCTACGTACTTCTCTTTTATGACTTTTGTAGCATTCACATATCAGGGACGAATCTTTAACCTGGTTTGCATGCATACACTGGTTTTAACTTCAAGGACAAAAGATAAGAGACCGTAGGTTACATCACCACCATACCCATGTAAATATATGCCTTGTTTTTAGGTGGAGCTGAGACATGCATTCTAGTTGGTAAATAAGTCAACAATAAAAATGGCTGTAGTAATCATGTTATAATTCTTAACTAGCTTCGTGTGACTAATTGCAAAGCATTGTATAGCCAAAGAACACATCTGAAAGCATCTAAAAATATCCTTCTCATTCTCACAATATTCTTTCATCTAGATTGAATTACAAATTCATAAACTTGAAAGCCACCACTAGTTTTCAATCTTTAACTGGTCACATGATAAATTCATTCCTTCTGCAGACTTCCTTCTTGAATTCTTTAAACAGAAAATGAATCCCAAAGAAATGAATGGTTTCTTTACTTTTCAGACATCCATACAGACATTATTACATGATTATAATTTTTTTAACCATGATGTCCTGAAGGTACAACTCTCTTTATATGTCTCAAAAGAAACACACTAATGATATAAGGGTTTTATCAGCTACTAC